TCTTACCTTTTATTTGGGCCCACCCCCAATCTATTGCTGCCTCCTGAGTCCCAGCTGATGACTAGAGGGGAAAAAACTGTTTAAACTCTTGCCGCGGGGCTTCAAAGGGCCGTCCTACAGCTGATCAGTGTTAAAAGCAAACAAATGAGTCGGGTCGTAAGTGCGAGGACTGGTCGTAAGTACAAGGACCTTCCAGAAATGACTCTGACCAGGTAGCCACGCCCACCTAGTCACATGACCTCCAAGCCACACCCACAAAATAAGCCACGCCCACAGAACCGGTAGTAAAAAAATTTAGAACCCACCCCTGGCCTACCAGAAGTTTGGGATGGGCCTCCGGAGCCTGGGGAGGCCGTTTTTGCCCTCCTGGAGGCTCAAGGAAAGCCTCCGGTGCCTGGGGAGGGCAAAAACGCCTCCCCTCCGCTGTGGTGCAGGAGGCCGACTAGGCCATGCCCACCACGGCCACGCCCACCCAGCAACCGGGCAAAGAACCCCTTGCTAAAATTTTTGAAGCCCACCCCTATACAGCCCTATACCTGCATAGAAAATGTGAAGAACTGAAAAAAAAGAATTAAGCCCACATTAAACATCTGAACACTCAATTAAGACATAATTAAAACAGTGATTTTCGGTCCTCTGATGTTTTCCTGGATAATTGCATGGATTACAGCATAGATCATATATATATATATTTATACATGTGCTAAAAATTATCTAGCTATTCAGCTGAAAGAGGGAGGGGAATCACCAAAAGAGGGAAAATAAAACTTTAAAGAAGTAAAGGCTATATATTCCTTTAGATTTAGATTTATTTATTTTTTAATTGTCAAGAAAGATTGTTCTGGCATCACAGCGCCCCCTAGTGATCTGTCTGGGCATTTCTCCCAGCTCACCCTCCCAATCTAGAACTCTTAATCAGATATTTGGGCAGGACAATATGGGCTAATCCAAGAGGTTGATAAATTGCTAGGGTCTTTATAGTGCTATGAGTTAACGTAGTATTTATTAAATTATTTTCATATAAATAAGGATTTGGGGAGGCACGAGCAATTGGGCTCTTCGTGAAGGGTTGATGAGTTTTGGGGATGTACAGGAAGTCAGGGGTGGGTTCTAAAAAATTTTACTACCGGTTCTGTGGGCGTGGTTTATTTTGTGGGAGTGGCTTGATGATCATGTGACAATTCTTTAGGATTTAGCAGAGGTACTGGTCTACCAGCCTTTTAACTGCTTGCAGAGCTGTACTGGTCTACTCATGTATTTTTGCAGGCACCAGTCTACTCATTTATTTTTGCAGGCACCGGTCTACTCATTTGTTTTTGCAGGCACTGGTCTACCCATTTATTTTTGCAGGCACCAGTCTACTCATGTATTTTTGCAGGCACTGGTCTACCCATTTATTTTTGCAGGCACCGGTCTACTCATTTGTTTTTGGAGGCACCGGTCTACCACCAAACTGCCTTTTACCACTGATCAGCTGTAGGGCGGCAAGAGTTTAAACAGTTTTTTTTTTCTTATAGCCCATCAGCTGGGACTCAGGAGGCAGCAATAGATTGGGGGTGGGGCCAAATAAAAGGTAAGAATAACGCGGGGGCGGGGGTGGGGATGAGCGGGGGGGGCAGAACCGGTTCGGTGATGTCATATCGTCGCCACTACTGGCTCGGCGGAACCGGGCAACACCCACCACTGCAGGTAGTCCTTGACTTACAAGCACAATGAAAAGTGAAATTTGCCCCATTTTACAACCTTTCTTGCCACAGTCGTTAAGTGAGTCACTGCCGCTTTTAAGTTACTACCACAGTTGTTAAGTGAATCTGGTTTCCTCATTGATTTTGCTTGTCAGAAGGTCGCAAAAGGGGAACATGTGACCCCCGGGAGACTGCAACCGTCATAAATATGAACCAGTTGCCGGAGCGTCTGAATTTTGATCATGTGACCACGGGGATGCTGCCATGGTTGGAAGTATGAAAAGCAGTCATAAGTCACTTTTTTTCAGTGCCCTTGTTATTTCGAACGGGTCGCTAAATGAACAGTTGTAAGTGGAGGACTACCTGTGTTGGTATGAGTGAATGACTTTGGGAAACGGAGGGAGGGGAGAGCCGCAGGCTACAGAAGAGATAAAAGGCAGCTGAGCCCTGAGAAGAAAAATGGGCATGAGAATTAACTCAGAAGAAACCCTCCCTAGTTTCCAAATGTGGGCGGGATTAAGACCTGGAGTGAGAGAATCATGATTACAAAGGGATAAATCAAGGTTAACCCTCTGTGGGGTTCTGGGCTCCCAATGAGCCCCTTAACTGACCCAACAGAAGGAAAATCTTAAGCCAGAATGATGGGCTGTCTACTAAAACAAAGCAAGGTTGGAAAGGTAACAGTAAGAGTGGGAAGGGACCTTGGAGGTCATCTAGTCCAATCTCCTGTACTAGGGATTCGAACCGCTGAACTGCCGACCTTTCTGATCGACAAGCTCAGTGTCTTAGCCACTGAGCCACCTAGTCAGGCTAGTCAAGTGATGGCGTACACTGGTCAAAGGTGATCAGAAGCATTGTGGAATCCATCTGGCAAGAACAAAGGATGCTTATTCACAGGGAATATGCACGTGTAACAATTTTGGGTGGTTAGAAAGCTGATAAAAGTAACAAAGAGTTAGGCAACTTGCAGGCCTCAGCTAGAAGTTAGGAATAGAGATGGCCTGCAGCAAATAGAATGTGTATCAGATAACTCCTGAAGCATTCATTAGTCAAGGCTTAGGAATAGGGACTATTCTAAAGACCAATAGAATAATCGTTAGATAATTGCTAAATTGTTTATTAGATGATATTTCTTATATATCCCGCCTTATCCTGCCTTCTGCTTTAGTGAAAATGTATAAAGCTTTCTTAATTCTATTTTTCAGGGTTCCGTGGCATTTTCTGGCAGGACCCCTTTTCTTCAATAAAAGGAGATAAAACCTGCACCTCATGTCTGGCGTCCTTCATCGGCCTCGGCACCAGGCTCTGACCCGAATTGGGAACAATAAAAGTGTGACTCCATCTTTTCCAAGAAAACAGATAAATAGCATAATGGAATGAGCGAATGACCTTGGGAGACAGGAGGAAGAGCTGCAGACTGGGCAGTGGTCGGATAAGAGGCAGCTGAACCTGCAGAAGGAATGGAGCATGGGAAATCTCTTAGTGGGACCCTCCCTAGTTTCTCAGGCTAGAAAAGCAAAGGAGGAGAACTCTACTTTTCAACTTGCAAGATTCTGTTTATGGATTTTGAGTCCTTGGTTCCTCTCTGAGCTTAGCTGTTTCCTTGCAAGCGTTTCATTACCCACCTAGGTAACACCACCAGTCCTACTGCCTCTGATGCGCTAGCACTAATGATAACAGGCTGCTTAGCCTCCAGAAGAAACAAGGCCTGGAAAACATCTCAGATGGGACCAGCGCAGAGGTGGGGTTCAGCAGGTTCTGAACCAGTTCTGGAGAACCGGTAGCGGAAATTTTGAGTAGTTCGGAGAACCGGTAGTAAAAATTCTGACTGGCCCTGCACCCCTCTATTCTCTGCCTCCCAAGTCCCAGCTGATCGGGAAGAAATGGGGATTTTGCAATATCCTTCCCCTGGATTGGGGAGGGAATGGAGATTTTACAGTATCTTTCCCCTGCCATGCCCATCAAGCCACGCCCACCAAGTCATGCCATGCACACGAAGCCACGCCCACAGAACCAGTAGTAAAAAAATTTGAATCCCACCACTGGACCAGCGGTGGGTTTCCAATATTCTTACCACCGGTTAGGAGCATGCACGCACGTCGCTGCAACCGATTTGCCCGAACCGGTACGAACCAGCTGAATACCACCTCTGGATGGGACCCTCCCTAGTTTCTTGCACTGTAAAGGTGATGTGGGGGCGGGGGGGAGAGAGATGTGCTTTCCGACTTGCAAGATTCTATTAAACGCATCTTTACAGTAAAGTTAGTAGTAGCGCTTCTGGATGTGCTTCTTGTCTGGACGACCTCGCGGAACAGATTCAAAGGATGACTTCAGGGCCTCTCCAAAATACAGGCAGGAAAAACAACAACATCCCTACTGCGTCCTCTCATCCAGCCGCAATCCTAGAATTGTAATGCGCAGAATTAAAGAGAGGAAGACACACTTCCAGAGCAGGGAGTAGAAAGGGAGTAAAAAAACCTCAGGTCTGTTCGCGTCGCATCTTCTTTGTAACCGAGCTTGGTGCGTGATCAAAAACAAAGGAGAAGAGAAAAAGAAAAAACCAGGGAGAATCGGGAGACGTTTAATCTAATCATACAACCTTGTGTTGTTGTTGTTGTTGTTGTTTTGTTTGGGGAAACTGAATTACCGGAAAAAGCCCTGTCAAAAGTTCCCAAGGTTGAATGGAAGCAGGCACCCTTCATTTGCCTCAACGATCTCTTTTTAGTTCTCGTGGAAAAAAATCGGATTATAGAGTAGTTAGAACAAGGGGACCTGTTTTTCTTCTGCAATTCCTTCTTCTTCCCACTCGCTCACCCGTGCTTGTTTGTCTGTAGGAGTGGGAGAAAGTTGTGTTCCTAAAAACAACAGGCAAACCCTTGCAGCCAGGGGTGAAATGCTCCCGGTTCGGACCGGATCACCCGATCCGGTAGCGATGGAGGCGGGTGGTTCGGAGAACCGGTAGCAAAAATCCCTGCCCCCCCCATTGCCCAGCTGAGCCGCGCGATCATCAGAGGCTTTTTTTTCTTTTAAATGCCTCTGACGATCCAAGCTGAGTTGCCTGATCGTCGAGCTGAGTTTGACGATCCGAGCTGAGTTGCCTGATCGGCAGAGGCATTTAAAAGAAAAAAAAAAGCCTCTGACGATCAGGCAACTCAGCTGGGATCGTCAGAGGCTTTTGAAAGCATTTTTTTTACAACCAAAGAGGTTGTAGAAAAAATGGTTTTAAAAGTTAAAAAAAAAAAAGTTGGCCACACCCACCCAGTCACATTACCCCCCCATCCCCACCAAGCCACACCCACAGAACCGGTAATAACAAATTTTAGATTTCACCACTGCTTGCAGCGTTTTCATAGAACATAGAAGAACAGAGTTGGAAGGGGTCTTGGAGGCCTTCTAGTCCACCCCACTTGAGCTGGAGAATCTATACCATTTTAGATCAGTGATTGTCCAGTCTCTTCTTAAAAATCTCCAGTGATGGAGCAGCCACCACTTCTGAAGGCAAGGTTGATTGTCCTCACCGTTAGGAAGTTTCTCCTTTAATTCCAGTTTGCTTCTCTCCTTAGTTAGTTTCCATCCGTTGTTTCTCGTCTTGGCTTTTTGGTGCTTTGGAAAATAAGGAGGTTTTTTTTTGGGGGGGGGTGTTGTTCCAAAAAGCTAGATACATTATTTGCTAATAATCACTCGCACATCTGTCTTGCAAGGTAGGCCGTTCCACCTTCTCCTGAGGTTCCCACCACCATTGCAAAAATCGGGACAGGAAAGGAAGCGACAGCAGTAAGAAAGCAGCTCAGAGAAGATCAAGTGAGGACAGTTAAAGAGTCAACGCAAGTTTTTTGTGGCTTTTCTCAAAGAGGTCGGTCTCTTGCTGGAAAGGCAGAGCGAAGCCTGGTTAAGTGGGCTGGCTGGCCCTCCGGTTCGAAAAAAACTGTCAGAAATGTCCAGTGTTTATTTCAGAACAGAGGGACGGGTTCCTAAGAAAGGAAAGGAAGAGAGATGAGTGTCTCATTTCCCCCTCAATTAGCTTTTCCCCTCAATTAGCTTTTTGAATTACAACCATCTTTCTGCATTCCATTTTAGGGAGTAGACTTGGATCATTTCCCCACCCGCCGCAAACATTGGGAAATAAAACCAGACAGATGGATGGCAATGTTAAATTTAGAGTTTATTGCTGTGTGCAATGAATCAACTGGATTCAGGTAGCATCTAAATAGGAGAGGGGAGGGGAGGGAGGAAATGGGCAGGGGAAGGGGGAGGGGAAGGAGAGGGGAGGGGAAGGGGAAAGAGAAGGAAAGGGGGAAGGAAAGGGGAGGGGGAGGGGAAAAGGGGGAAGGGAAGGAGGAAGGAAAGGGGAGGGGAGGGGAAAGGGGAGGAAGGGGATGGCGAGAGGAAGGGGAAAGGGGAAGAGAAGGTAAAAGAGAAGGAAAGGGGGAAGGGGAAGGAAGGGGAAGAGGGAAGGGGGAAAGGGGAAGGGAAAAGAGAAGGGAGGGAGAGGGAGAATGGAAAGGGAAGGGTGGAGGGAGTGGGGAAGGGGAAAGAGAAGGAAGGGGGGAAGGGAGGGAGAGGGGAGGGGGAAGAGAAGGGGAGGGGAGGGGGAGAGGAAAAGGGGGAAGGGAAGGAGGAAGGAGAGGGGGGAGAAAGGGGAAGGGGAAAAAGAAGGGGAGGGGAGGGGGAGAAAGGGGAAGGGAAAGGGGAGAGGAAGGGGAAAGGGGAAGGGAGGGTAAAAGAGAAGGAAAGGGGGAAGGGGAGGGGAAGAGAGAAGAGGGAAGGGGGAAGGGGAAGGGAAAAGAGAAGGGGAGGGAGAGTGCGAAGGGAAGGGTGGAGGGAGTGGGGAAGAGGAAAGAGAAGGAAAGGAGAAAGAGAAGGGGAGGGGAGGGGGAGGGGAAAGGGGGAAGGGAAGGAGGAAGAGGAAGGAGAGGGGAGGGGAGGGGAAAGGAGAAAAGGAAAGGGGAGGGGGAGGGGGAAAGGGGGAAGGGAAGGAGAAAGGAGAAAGGGGAGGGGAGGGGAAAGAGAAGGAAAGGGAGAGTGGGAAGGGAAGGAAGAAAAGATCTTTGATGCTTGTCTTGGATATAGAATCTTACAAACAATCAATGCTAACGCCAGCCTTACTCTGAGGTTGCAATAAGAGAATCACGCAAGTCTACAACCAGCTCTCCCCTCCTTTCCTTTTGCCTTCCGGAGAACAAGGCAGGGTCCCTTCTGAAGCCCTTCCCAGGCCCCTTTTCCTTCTGGGGGCTGAGCTATCCCTTATCCGACCATTGTCTGGGCTGCGGCCCTTCCTCCTTCTCTCTTCCCACCACCCCCCCAGGCCGTTCTCACAAGACCCTTGTTGCTTCTCCCCAACCTCCACCCACCCCACCCCACTCCGGCACGTGATCAGGACCGCCGGTGCCTTACCACAAACATCAGGGCTTCCATCTCACCACCTGCCGCAGGTGGAGTTCGCTCTCCGCAGCCACGATTGGCTGCTCGTTTTGCAGGTGATAATTTATGAGGTGGCTGATGCTTTCGAACAAGGCGTCCTTTGTTCTCACCTGGGGGAAAACAACAAGGGTGAGAAACGGGAATGCGGAGCTCCCGCCTTTCCCTCCCTTATCAGGAATCAAGATTTCAATGGGTCAGTCGGATAAAAAAACAGAACAAACAGACGAGAACGTACATTGCCAGAGTAGCTGGGAAACCAGTCTGTCCAGCACCACCACCGCCCTTCTACCCAGATTCGTTTAGCGACCGTTCGATGTTACAACGGCACCGTGACTGCAAAAGTTACTGTTTACAAGGGTAAAAGGAAGTGGTGTGGCCCACCAGCTGCCGGCGGAGCCGGCGGCGGCCGAGGAGGAGGTTGGGGCAGAACCTGGGACAGCTCTGGAGTCTGGGGAAGGCTCTGATCAGAAGGCTGGAATCGAAGATGAGTGAGGAAGAGGAACAGCTGGGGCCTGTTCCAGATGCACGTATGCACAGTGTTCTGCCCCAGCTACGGACCCCAAAGAACGCAGCACACACAAAGTCTGTACGAACCTTAGTTTACTAAATTAAATCAGTCTTTTTCAAACAAAGACTGTTAATTAACTTTCTTAACAGCCTACAAGAAGCCAAAGAATAAATAATCGTAATCTTACTAGGGTTGGCAAAAAGCCCAGAAGCAATTTGCAGGACACTGATAAAAAGAACTAAGATCCAGACAACGAGAGTGAATTAGGTTGTTCCCTGCAAATGGCCTCAGTCAACGTCCTTCCTTAAATAGGCTAAGGGAGTGGCCAATTAGCCCCAAGCCTTACTCTCAAGGAGACCTCCTCCTGAGGAGCCACTCCTGCCTTTTGGCAGCTCTGCGCGCCTGTGCATCGAGAAGAGGCTCCTCCTCTTCATCCTCTTCACTTAAAGGAGCTTCTGGAGGTTCTGAAGGCCCTGGCTGAATCCCTGCCTCTGGTACCACATCTTCTCCAGCCTCCTCATTGTCTGACTCGAGTGCCAGCTGAGTCAGCCTCAACACCACACCATAATTGTTCTGCCCCAGCTACGGGCCCCAAAGAATGCAGCACACACAAAGTCTGTACAAAACTTAATTTACTAAAATAACTCAGTCTTTTCCAACAAAGGCTGTTAATAAACTTTCTTAACAGCCTACAAGAAACCAAAGATAAAGTAATCACAATCTTACGAAGGTTGGCAGAAAGCCCAGAAGCAATTTGCAGAGAATCCAGATGCGAAGGAGAATGAACTAAAGTTGTTTCCTACAAATTGCTTCAGTCGGTGTTCCTCCTTAAATAGGCTAAGGGAGTGGCCAATTAGCCCCAAGCCTTACTCTCGAGGAGACCTCCTCCTGAGGAGCCACTCCTGCTTTTTGGCAGTTCTGCGCACCCGTGCATCGAGAAGAGGCTCCTCCTCTTCTTCGTCTTTACCCATGGAAGCTTCTGGAAGTGCTGAAGGCCCTGGCTGAATCCCCGCCTCTGGCACCACATCTTCTCCAGCCTCCTCATTGTCTGACTCAAGTGCCAGCTGCACAGGCTGCTGGCGCAGCACCATACCAGCCTCCTCGCTGTCAGAATCAGCTACTAGCTGCACAGGCCGCTGACGGGCCACAACACACAGAGCTGTCAGGACAACTGAGGAGAGTTGTCTCGGGAAGCAAAGCACACATGGACGCTGAATGGCCCCTCCCTGGCTGGGGAATAAACAGAAGGAAAGGGGAGTGGTGGTCGTAGGAGACAACCGTTCGGATTTCTGAAGATTTTGCTCATCGTGTTTCGTGCTTCAGAGACTGCTTGCCAGAACTTAATTTGCAGCTTTGCGGCTGGGAGCTCACGGCCTGGCAATCGTCGCAAGGAACTGAGAAGGTCTGTTATTGCAGTTAACTCCTTGAAGGACTCTTGCCTGGACTTTTCGGTGGGTGAACGCCATTAATTCACAGGAGATAAATAAAGAGGGGGGTTTGGGGACAAGGAGTCTGTTTCTTGCTTCTGCTAAAGCTGGGTCAGAACAGGAAGTTACGATCGTATTTCACATTTACGTGACCGTTGCTGCATCTTCCATGGTCACGTGATCAAAATTCAGAGGCTTGGCAACTGACTCATATTTAGGACAGTCGCAGCGTCCCGGGAGGGTCAGGTGATTCCCCTTTTGCGACCTTCTGATATGCATAGTCGATGGGGAAGCCAGATTCACTTAACAACCGGGTCATTAACTGAACAACTGCAATGATTCATTTAACAACCAGGTCATTAACTGAATAACTGCAGTGATTCATTTAACAACTGGATCATTAACTGGACACATTCAGTGATTCACTTGACAATGGTGCCGTTAACTGAACAACTGCAGTGATTCTTTTAACAACCGGATTATTAACTGGACACGTTCAGTGATTCACTTAACAATGGTGCCATTAACTGAACAACTGCAGTGATTCATTTAACAACCAGGTCATTAACTAAACAACTGCCATGATTCATTTAACAACGGTGCCATTAACTGAACAACTGCAGTGATTCATTTAACAACCAGATCATTAACTGGACACATGCAGTGGTTCACTTAACAATGGTGCCATTAACTGAACAACTGCAATGACTCATTTAACAACCGTGGCAAGGAAGGTCGTATAATGAGGCAAAATTCATTTAACAAATCTCTCGCTTAGCAATAGAAACGTTGGGCTCCATTGTGGTTGTAAATCGAGGACTACCTGTATTGATGAGGAAAGGTTGTCTAAAATGTGCAATCTGTTTCCCTCAAACTTAACCTCCAGGGCCAAAATGAGTTAAAAAATTACCCAATCTTGGATAGTGTGATTATAACCCTGTGCAATGAATCATACAGAGAGATACAGGACAACCTCTTCATCTATTCGTGGTTGTCCTTTCAGCTTTCGCCATGTTTCCCAATTATTTTCACACATTTCTTTCCCCTTTCTCACAGCAACACTTCCTGTTTGAGGAGCCTGTGCTATGGTGTTGTGCCAGACCTTATCTCCCAGGATTGCTCACACGCGGCAAGGAGGTTATTCATTACCCTGAGCATTAATTAAAAACAACATATTAACCAGCCCATCAACCAAGTCTACTATAATCATCCCTTTTTTCCCCCCGTTATTCCTCACAAAGGTTGCCAGCTCATTTATCACTTCATCTCACAATGGGAGGGAGGGAGGGAGGGAGGGAGGGAGGAAGGAAGGAAGGAAGGAAAGAGAAGAGGGAAAGGGATGAAGAGAAGAAAAGGAAGGAGGGAAGGAGGAACAGAAATGAAGGGAAGGAAAGGAAAAGAAAGGAAAAAGGAAAGGGAGGGAAGGAAAGGAGAAAGGGAAGGGAAGGAAAGGAGAAAGGAAAGGGTAAGGAAAGGGAAGGAATGGAAGGGAATGAAAAGATAGGAAAGGGGAGGAAAGGAAAAGGAAAGGAAAGGAAAGGAAAGGAAAGGAAAGGAAAGGAAAGGAAAGGAAAGGAAAGGAAAGGAAAGGAAAGGAAAGGAAAGGAAAGGGAGGGAAGGAAAGGAGAAAGGGAAGGGAAGGAAAGGAAAAAGGAAAGGGAAGGGAAGGGAAGGAAAGGGAAGGGAAAGGAAAGGAAGGGAAGGGAATGAAAAGATAGGAAAGGGGAAAGGAAAGGAAAAGAAAGGAAAGGAAAGGAAAGGAAAGGAAAGGAAAGGAAAGGAACAGAATGGAAAGGAACAGAATGGAAAGGAACAGAATGGAAAGGGAAGGAAAAGATAGAAAAGGGGTAAGGAAAGGAAAGGAAAGGAAAGGAAAGGAAAGGAAAGGAAAGGAAAGGAAAGGAAAGGAAAGGAAAGGAAAGGAAAGAAGGGAAGGGAAGGGAGCAAATAGAGAAGGAAGAGAAAGGGGAAAAATCAGGATTAGGATCTCCTTTTTTCCTGCTGGTGGATCCCTCTAGTGATCCCAGAATTTCGCATGGGAATTAACTGGCCAGCTGACAATGTTGATGATAATTTATCATCTAAGTGATGTCCTCATTCGTCCTTATTTTTGTTGCTTCCCAGCCTTCGAGAAAGTAGAGTAGCGGAGCTTCCTTGCAAAGCCCAGGACCTCAAGAGACAGCCTCACTGCCTTATTTTGCCTTTTCTACGGCAAACAAAAGAACATCCAGGCTGCCTATCTCAGGGCCAGTGCGCTCCAAATCCTGCTTTGGTTCCCGGGCACTTACCACGCCTTCAGGATCGACCAGGAGCAAATGTTTCGGCTGCCCGCTGTGCATCCCTGTCAGAACGTATTGCCCGGGGTTGGTGATACTGTCCCGGACTAAAAAGTCACCGTCAGTGTGCAGCAATTTCTCCGCATCCCGTCGGCTCATTTTGCCATGGTACCACAGTTCCTGCTTCAACTGGTCTTCGGTGGGGGCAATGGGAGCCTTGCGGCTGGGCGGGCTGGGCCACCGGTCCTCAATTTGGAGCCCGCTCTGCACCCCGCAAGCCGACATGGACTCGTGGTGCTTTAGAGCATCTTCGAAAGGCCCTGGGATGGGAAAGGGAGAGGAAACATCCAGGATGGCTTAGATCCATTAGCATTCCTATTTCCCTATGCCTAGTTTTTACGTTTTATAAGCTAGAAACTGGGAGACTGTGAGTTCTAGCTTCGCCTTGGGCCAATCACTTTCTCTCAGCCCTGGGAAGGAGGCAATGGCCACCCCAATGATGCCCTTGAAGTGATGTCCCGGTGCCTAGAGGCCGTGCGGATCTGGATGGGGAAGAACAGGCTCAGGCTCAACCCATCCAAGACTGAGTGGCTGTGGTTCCCGGCATCCCGATATAGTCAGTTGACTCCATCACTGACTACTGGGGGCGAGTCTTTGGCCCCCACGGAGAGGGCTCGCAACTTGGCCGTCCTCCTGGATACGCAGCTGTCCTTGGAGGAACATCTGACGGCTGTGGCCAGGGGGACTTTTTACCAGGTCCGCCTGATCCGCCAGTTGCGGCCCTTCCTAGATCCGGATTCCTTGTGCACAGTCACTCATGCCCTCGTCAACTCTCGCCTGGACTACAGCAATGCTCTCTACATGGGGCACCCCTTGAAGAGCACCCGGAGACTTCAGCTGGTCCAGAATGCGGCCGCACGGGTAGTGACGGGAGCCGCATGGCGCTCCCACATAACACCCCTCCTGCGTGAGCTGCACTGGCTCCCAGTGGTCTTCCGGGTGCGCTTCAAGGTGTTGGTTATCACCTTTAAAGCGCTCCATGGCATTGGACCTGGATACCTTCGAGACCGTCTGCTGCCACCAACGACCTCCCACCGACCGAGAGGGCCTCCTCAGGGTGCCATCGGCCAAGCAATGTAGACTGGTGGCCCCCAGGGGGAGGGCCTTCTCTGGGGGGGGGCACCTGCCCTCTGGAATCAATTGCCCCCAGAGATACGAAGGTGCCTTCCGCCGTGCCCTGAAGACCTTCCTTTTTCAGCAAGCCGGGCTGGCTTAACACATTTTTAAATGTTTTTAATAGGTTTTGTTATTGTTTCTTTTTTAATTATGGGGCCAAATTTATATATATCTTTTTAAATTGTTTTTAATGTTTGTATTTATGTTTTTTACTTTGGCTGTACACCGCCCTGAGTCCTTCGGGAGAAGGGCGGCCTATAAATTTGATAATAAATAAATAAATTTTAAAAAATGGCAAATCAGTTCTGAAAAATCTTACCCAGAAAACTGCAGACTGCAGTTTCTGAGAATTGAATATGGAAGAATGGCTGGTTGGTTGGTTGGTTGATAGGGAGGGAGGGAGATAGATAGATAGAGACAGTGGTGGGTTCCTCCCGGTTTGGCCCGGTTCCACCGAGCCGGTAGCGGTGACGGTTATAAAGCAGCAGCTGCTGATCTTTTTAACGGCAATAACTAATACATTTATATTTTACCTTCTCTAGGGTTACATCATAATTTCCTTCTTTCCACATTCTACCCTTTCTAATCATCAAACCCATAAATCACTTTTTTTTTTCTTTTTCCAGTAAAAAGCCCATCAGGGGTTTCCATTCAGGCCAGATGCTTATTTACTTTTGAGAGCTTCGGTTGTGCGTTGAAATGATGAGGATTGAAAGTGTGCGTGGGAACACATTTTCATCTATGCATCTCCCAGAGCACTTTAGTTATTGATAAATGCGCCAATTATCTAACTTGGCCGCAGAATAAGCAAATAAAAATAGTAACCAACAGGGAGGGAGGGTGGGAAAGAAAAAATTCAGAGATCAAACCGAGAACGTAGCAGAAAGCTGTAGCAAAACAATAGGAAATAAAAAGGAGCAATTATTTTTAACTGCTGCGAGCCATCCAGAGTCATGAATTCGAGATGAGTGGCCATATAAATTGAAATAATAAATGCAAATATTTGGATGTCAGAAATGTCCAATTTGGTCTTTAGCATTTCCAGTGGAAAAGGATCAGGTAGCAGGCAATGGGGAAGGCTGTTTCCCTGGTGGCTGGCACACCTTGGAATCTTTCTTCCCAAAGAAGTTGAGACTTTGGAAACAGTGCAAAGAAGAGCAACTAAGATGATTAAGGGCCTGGAGACAGAAACATTTGAAGAATGGTTGCAGAAATGGGGTACAGCTGGTCAAGAGAAAAGGAGGACTAGGGGGGTGACATGATAGCAATGTTCCAATATTTGAGGGGCTGCCACAAAGAAGAGGGGGGGGGGGGCAGCTGATTTTTCAAAGCACCAAAAGGCAAAAGAAGAAACAATGGATGGAAACTAATCAAGGAGAGAAGCAACCTGGAATGAAGAAGAAACTTCCTAACGCTTTAAAGCGCTCCATGGCATAGGACCCGGGTACCTTCGAGACTGACTTCTGCCACCAATAGCCTCCCACCAGCCACTTCACTCCCACAGAGAGGGTCTCCTCAGGGTGCCATCGGCCAAGTTATGTCGGCTGGCGACACCCAGGGGGAGGGCCTTCTCTGTGGGAGCCCCAGCCCTGTGGAATGAACTGCCCCCGGAAGTGCGTAAGATCTCTGACCTCCGGGTATTTTGCTGTGCACTCAAGACCCTGTTGTTCCGCCAGGCCGGGCTATCAACATAATAATTTTAAATTGGGTGTTTTAAATTTTAAATTTCTGGGGTTTTAAATCGAGCTAAATTTATTTAATAATTTTAAACTATTTTAACTGATGTTGTCTTGTGTTTTTAATAGGCTGTACACCGCCCTGAGTCCTTCGGGAGAAGGGCGGTATAGAAATAAAATTATTCTTATTCTTATTCTAACAGTGAAGACAATTAACCAGTGGAAGAAGTTGCCTTCAGACATTGTGGGTGATTCATCATTGGAGGTTTTTAAGAAGAAACTGGACAGTCACTTGTCTGAAATGATTTAGGGCAGTGTTGGCGAACCTTTTCAGCACAGAGTGCCGAAATGGGAATGTGAGTCTGCGTGCACGTGCAAGAAACCAAAAGAGCAGCTACCTGGTGTGCATACGCACACCGGGAAGATGCCCTTCTGGTTTCCGGTGCCCGCACATGCACTGGCCACCTGGTCTTCCGGTTTCGGGTGTGCATGCATGTGCAAAGAGCAGCTGGCCAGTGCACATGCGTGCTGGAAACTGAAAGATCATCTTCCCAGCGTACACATGCACGCCGGGCGGCTGCTCTTCCAGTTTCCGGCACTCCCGCGCCTGTGAAGACCAGCTGGTTGGCGCACCGGAACCCGGAAGAGCAATGGTGGACGGCTCGCGTGCCTGGAGAGATGGCTCTGCGTGCCACTTCTGGCACGCGTGCCATAGGTTCATCATCACTAATATAGGGCCTCCTGCTTAAGCAGGGGCTGGACTCTAGAACAACTCCAAGGTCCCTTCCAGCTGATTGATTGAGATATTGAGCAGGCCTGTCCAAACAGGAATCCAGCATGAATACCGTATTTTTCGGAGTATAAGACGCACCGGAGTATAAAACGCACCTACCTTTTTTGGTGAGGAAAAGAAGAAAAAGAAATCTCCTTCTGCCTCTGAGCAATTCTGCCTCCTTGCAGCAAACAGCAAACGGCCTGCTTTACTTTCATTTTCGTTTTCAGCATAGCTTGATTAGCACAAGGGGAAAAAAAATCTGCTCCAGCAATTTACCTCTTTGCAGCCAGCAGCAGAGCCCTGCGCAAAACAGCTGAGAGCAAATCAGCTAGGAGTCGGGAGGCCGATCCAATCAACTTGTGCTAATTAGGCTGTGCTGAAACTGAAATGAGCTGTTTTTTCTTGCTGTTTGCTCACAAGAAGGTAACTGCTGGGGAGGCAGAAGCCAAACGGTGGGGGCCAGTGGGTGGGCGGGGCTACATTCGGTGTATAAGACGCACCTAAATTTTCACCCGTTTTTAGGGGGGGAAAAGGTGCGTCTTATACTCCGAAAAATACGGTACTTTTCTCTGTCCTATTAGCTCGGTCCATGGTCCTGAATCCAGATTGGCAGGCTCCCCTCCTGATCACAATTATGCATTCCCAGCCATCTTCACCTGAACGTATTTGCAAAACCAATACAAATCCTCTGTCTTTCTTCCCGACAAACAAGACCTGGAGATCTGGGAGTAACACCACGTGATTTTGATTCTATCCCTCTGTTAATGCAGTCCTAGGCTTTTTTTTTTTGGCAGCTGCAGCATACTGCTCGATCATATTTAAGCAGTTGTCCACCAGGACTCCCAGATCTCCATGTCTGTTTGTCGGGAAGAAAGACAGAGGATTTGAATTGGATTTGCAAATGAGTTCAGGTCAAGATATGGTGCTGGGAATGCATAGTTGTGATCAGAAGCCGAAGGCTGCCAAGGTAGATTCAGCACCATGGACAGCGCTAATAGAATTCGCTAATAGAGTTAGTAACACTTTATAAGCCCTTGATAAGACCCCACTTGGAATACTGCATCCAGTTTTGGTCACCACAATATATTAAAAAAGATGTTAAGAGTCTGGAAAGAGTGCAGAGAAGAGCAGCAAAGATGATTAGAGGTCTGAAGGCTAAAACATATGAAGAGTGGTTGCAGGAATTGGGTATGTCTAGATAGATAGATAGATAGATAGATAGATAGATAGATAGATAGATAGATAGATAGATAGATAATTTTATTTCTATACCGCCCCTCTCCCGAAGGACTCGAAGCGGTGCACAGCCAAGTAAAAAACACAATACAAATCCCAATTAAATTTAAAAATTATTAAAATTATTACATTTACAGCCAAGATTCGTTAAAAACCCAAAAATTTAATACTCCGAATTAAAACTCCTTTACAAAGATAGCCCTGCCTGTCAGAAGAACAGGGTCTTGAGGGCACAGCGAAAAACTCGGAAGTCAGAGATTGTGCGTATTTCCAGGGACAGTTCATTCCAAAGGGCAGGAGCTCCCACAGAGAAGGCTCTCCCCTTGGGTGTCGCCAGCTGACATAGTTTGGCTGACGGCACCCTGAGGAGTCCCCCTCTGTGGGAGCGAACTGGTCGGTGGGAGGCTATCGGTGGCAGAAGGCGGTCTCGTAAGTACCCAGGCCCTGAGCCACGGAGCACTTTAAAGGTGGTAACCAACACCTTGGATCGCACCCGGAAGACCACTGGGAGCCAGTGCAGCTCGCGCAGGAGAGGTGTTACATAAGCGCAACGGGTTGCACCCATAATCACCCACGCGGCTGCATTCTGGACCAGTTGGAGCCTCCGAGTGCTCCAGTCTGGTCCAGAATGCACTAGTCTGATGCAAAGAAGGATTAGGGGTGACATGATCGCAGGGTTACTGTTAGGATATGGTTTGAGCCTAACAGGTTGTCCAGGCAATATATGTGTTCTGTGACTTTAATATGAATATGTATTGTGTGACTTTAAAGTTTTACTGCTGATTCATTGTAATGCTGAGTCATGCTGTAATTAGATAATCACTGGTTGTGAACGTATTTAAGACAGGTACTGTTACGTATTCAGTTGATGATAAGCTACCATTGTGTGAGGAGTGCTATCCATTGTGCTATCCATTGTGCTATCATCGTTAGATGGATCTGCTACCATCGTGGTTTGTGAACCAGAGTGAGTTTGTTATTCTAACCAACTACTGTTTGTGTGGTAAGAAGAGCTTTTGTATCACTGGACTGCTTTAACTGGCAAAGACTTGGATTGATTTAAAGACTATGAGATTGTTTTTTCACTATCAAGTAAACTTTTGATAAACCAGTTTGCACATCTCTTATTCATTGCTCTCAGCAACGTTTCTCTGTGCTCTACACTCTGCTGGTTGGTAACACAACAACAATATCCTTAACAGTTACAACAGTTGAGGGCTGCCACAAAGAAGAGAAGGGGTCAACCTATTTTCCAAAGCACCTGAAGGCAGGACAAGAAGCAATGGATGGAAACTGATGAAGGAGAAAAGCAATCTAGAACTAAAGAAAAATTTCCTGACAATGAGAACAATAAATCAGTGTGGAAAGACTTGGCTCCAGAAGTTCCGGATGCTCCATCACTGGAGCTTTTTAAGAAGAGATTGGACAACCATTTGTCTGAAATAGTATAATATGCTCTCCTGCTTGAGCAAGAGGTTGGACTAGAAGACCTCCGAAGCGCCTCCCAACTCCGCTATTCTGCTAAGAAATTATGCACAATAGGGAAATGTATTTAAGTATTTTCAGCTACGGATATGTTTCTTCAAGCTGTAAACTTGAGAAGAGGTTGAGCCAGTGTGGGTCAATCTTAGCTACTTTAAAATGTCTGGAGTTCAACTCCCAGAATTGGCTGGAGAATTCTGGGAGTTTCAGTCGTGACATCTTAAAGTGGTTGAAAACACTGGGTTGGACATAGGGTTTGAGTATAGAGTCCAACTATTTCTAATTACCTCACCTAGTCCGAGTTCCATTCTTCCTTGAAACTGGATTAGGAATTTTGCCCAGTAAAATAAATTTTCCCTCCTGCCTTCATCACTCTCCCCCAGCATATTCAAATTTCATGATTATTTTCCTGATGCTTCCTTTCCTGCAACCTGAGCATCATTTTGAAGTACGAAGGTATTAATAGCATTATTATTCCGTGTTTCAGGAGGGGCGCTGCATTCTCTTGTCATTGGCACTGACAGCATTGGCAAATGTAATTTTAATTAGATTTTTATCCTGCCTTTATTACTTTACAAGTAACTCAGTGGCGAATATATCTAATACTCCTTCTTCCTATTTTCCCCACAACAACAACCCTGTGAAGTGGGTTCAGCTGAGAGAGAGGGTCTGGCCCAAAGTCACTCAGCCAACTTTCATGCCTAAGGCGGGACTAGAATTCACCATTTCCTGGTGATTGGACCAAATCGCCCAGCTGGCTTTCATCCCTAAGGCGGGACTAGAACTCACAGTCTCCTGGTGATTGGCCCAAATTCTCCAGCTGGCTTTCATGCCTAAAGCAGGACTAGAACCAGTGGTGGGATTCAGCCAGTTCAGGCTGGTTCAGGCGAACCGGTTGTTAAATTGCTGGCTGGCCCCGCCCCTTCCAGGAGTCTTCACATGCTCGTTTTTGCTCCCAGAGGCTACAGGGAGGCCTATAAGGCCCAGAACAGGGTGCAGGGGGGTACGGCGCAGCCCTCCCGTGGCCTGTTTTTGCTCCCAGGAAGCTGCAGAGAGGCCTACTAGGCCCAGAACGGGGCGTAGGGGCAGAGGTGGGTTTCAGTAGGTTCTGACCAGTTCTGGAGAACCGGTAGCGGAAATTTTGAGTAGTTCGGAGAACTGGTAGTAAAAATTCTGAGGGCCCTGCCCATCTATTCTCTGTCTCCCAAGTCCCAGCTGATCAGGAGGAAATGGGGATTTTGCGGTATCCTTCCCCTGGAGTGGGGTGAGAATGGAGATTTTACAGTATCCTTCCCAGTGGTGGGTTCCTCCAGGTTCGGTCCGGTTCGGCCAAGCCGGCGGTGACGATATGACGTCACCGAACCGGTTCTCCCCCCCGCCCTCCCACCCCCCACCCCCCCACGTTATTCTTACCTTTTATTTGGCCCCACCCCCAATCTATTGCTGCCTCCTGAGTCCCAGCTGATGATTAGAGGGAAAAAAACTGTTTAAACTCTTGCCACGGGGCTTCAAAGGGCCGTCCTACAGCTGATCAGTGTTAAAAGCAAACAAATGAGTCGGGTCGTAAGTGCGAGGACTGGTTGTAAGTGCGAGGACCTTCCAGAAATGACTCTGACCAGCTAGCCACGCCCATCCAGTCACATGACCTCCAAGCCACACCCACAAAATAAGCCACGCCCACAGAACCGGTAGTAAAAAAAATTAAAACCCACCCCTGATCCTTCCCCTGGCACGCCCACCAAGCCACACCCACAGAACCGGTACTAAAAAACATTTGAAACCCACCACCGCACTGGGGGTTGCGGCATGGCCCTCCCGCAGCCCGTTTTTGCTCCCAGGGGGGTGCAGGAGGCCAAATGCTGCCTGTCCCTGGCCACACCCAACCTGGCCACGCCCACCCAGCCAGGCATTAGGGCAGAGAACCGGTTGTTAAATTATTTGAATCCCACCACTGACTAGAACTCACCCTTTCCTGGTGATTGGCTCAAATTGCCCAGCTGGCTTTCATGCCTAAGGCGGGGCTAGAACTCACCATCTCTTAGTGATTGGCCTAAAGCAGTGATGGCTAACCTTTTTGCCCTCACGTGCCAAAAGTGGGGGGAGTGTGGGGAGTCGCGGGTGCGGGTGCCCACATCCATAATTCAATGTGCCCCGCCCTCTCGCGCATGCGCACGTGACCCCCCCACACACTTCCTCCTGCTTTTGGCACGCAATGGTATGGGGGGCTCGGTAGGCCCGTTTTCCCCATCCCTAGGCTCCAGAGGTTTCTAGGAGCCTGGGGAGGGCAAAAACAGCCTTCCCCATTCCCCCAGAGGCCTTCCGGAGTCCGAAAACAACCAGTTTCCCAACTTCTGGAGGGACCGGAAGGCCTGAAAATTAGTTGGCTGGTGCGCACATGCGCGCTGGAGCTGAGCTAGGGCAACACTTGCGTGCCCACCAATATGGCTCCGCGTGCCACCTGTGGCACCCGTGCCATAGGTTCGCCATCACGGGCCTAAAGTCACCCATACAGCTTTCATGCCTAAGACAAGAATTCACCGTCTCTTGGTTTCTCGTTCCGCACCTTCACTACTAGGCCAAACTGGCCTCTAGAACCAGTTCCAGGCAAAATCCTTCCCCAGCTTTCCCCATGAGACCCCTTCTCTTACGCATATCGAAAAGGTCTTTGGGAGGACTTTCCTCAGGTTTCCCAACATTGGCCTCCCAGCTGTTGAAGTTTTCGGTGTTGACATACATGTGCTGTTCGTAATCTTGAGAGCCCAAAGGTCTGCTGTCTGCCTGAACGTAGCCGTCACAACACTGACCTGAAAGACAGAACAGCAGCATTATTTCCATCGTTTTAACGACCTTCTGTTTCCCTCATTTACACCCTTCAATTCCTTCTGCCCCATTCCCCAAATCAGTCTGCCTCTTCCAAAGTTTGGGAAAGAAAAAACAAAATCAGTCCTGTGTTTACATTTGCACGGGTTCGCCTAGTGCACCAATTGCGACCTTACTTCGATCGGGAGGCTCTCCTCACGGTCACTCATGCCCTTGTCACCTCACGGTTAGATTATTGCAATGCGGTCTACATGGGGCTACCCTTGAAAAGTGTTTGGAGACTACAGTTGGTCCAGAACGCAGCCACGCGAGCTGTCGTGGGTGCACCTAGGTACACCCACATTACACCAATTCTCCGCGAGCTTCACTGGCTCCCGATTGGTCTCCGGGCACAATTCAAGGTGTTGGTTATTACCTTTAACGCCCTACATGGCTCAGGGCCAGGGTATCTTCGAGACCGCCTTCTACCGCATAGCTCCCACCGACCAGTAAGATCCCACAGAGTTGGTCTCCTCCGGGTCCCGTCAGCTAAACAATGCCGGCTGGCGGGCCCGCGGCGGAGGGCCTTCTCTGTGGCTGCCCCAGCTCTCTGGAACCAGTTACCTCCTGAGGTCCGGACCTCCCCCACCCTATTCGCCTTCCGAAAAGCAGTGAAGACCTGGCTTTTCCAGCTAGGCCTGGGGCCATTGATCTCGCTCTTGCGATCCGGCGAGACAGGCCATGAATGGTGTGAATGAGTTTTAATGTTTTTAATGTTTTTAATTCTTAAATGTTTTTTATAATGATTTTATTTATTATTTATTTACTATTATTTATTAATTTTATTTCTATACTGCCCTTCTCCCGAAGGACTCAGGGCGGTGTACAGCCTAATTAAAAACACAAAGACAGACAAAATTTAAAAATAATTAAAATTATTAAATAATAGGCCCAATTTATAAAACCCCAAATTTAAAATCCCATTTAAAACCAATTAAAATCTTTACATTGATAGCCCATTTTAAATGCATTGTGAGCCGCCCTGAGTCTTCGGAGAGGGGCGGCATATGAATTGAATTAATAAATAATAAATAAATAATACACTGCTACTTATCTTCTGGCTTTACGGTATACAGGTAGTCCTCAACTTACAACAGTTCATTTAGTGACCATTCAAAGTTGCAACGGCACTGGGGAAAAAAAATGACTGATGACCGTTTTTTCACACTTACAACCTTTGTAGCATCCCCATGGTCACATGATCAAAATCAGCCGTTTGGCAACTGACTCATACTTATGACGGTTGCAGTGTCCTGGAGTCCTGCAATCCCCTTTTGCAACCTTCTGACAAGCAAAGTCACTGGGGAAGGCAGATTCACTTAACAACTGGGGTTACTAACTTATCAACCGCAGTGATTCACTTAACAACGGTGGCAAGAAAAGTCGTAAAATGGGGCAAAACTGACTTAACAATTTTCTTTACTTAACGTAAATTTTGGGCTCAATTGTGGTCGTAGTTGTGGACTACTTATACATATTTGTGGACGTTCTTCTCTCATATAATTATCTTCTTTTTCCAAGAATGTATTTTTGAACAGAGGGAGGGAGCATCATAAAAATCCCCCAAAAATGCCAAATAGGGAAAGTTCCAGTCTGTCAGGGTTCCAAGTAACACCCCCAACGAAGGAAGACTCCGAGGCTTGAAGTTCCTCAAAGTTCCATTTTCTTAGAGATGTCACATTGGCACATCTGGGAAAACTTGAATCTGAAAGCTTCCAGGTTTTCCCCACCCAAAGGAAAGTCCAAGTCCCTTCCCCCTGCACCCACATGTCCATCACATGGTACAATCAAAGCACCGTCCCATCTGGAGATGCCTCCCAGTTACACCCCTCCAGGTGCAGGGCAAGATGTCCTTGACTCTCTGAGAAAGGAATGTTATTATGACTACATATCACCACTGCTCCATACAATCCCCCCTCCCAGTTTCCCACAGCAGTAAATGTGGCAGGCCTGAAGGCCAAGTGCAAAAGATGGCTTCCAGGCCTGACACAGTCCTTATCTTGATTTGAGAATTTATTCTGAATTAATTAAATATGTAGGAACTAAATTACATCCCCCTTTCCTTATTTCCATCAATTTCAGAAGTTTGGACTCTACAGGCTGCTTTTATATCCAAAACAGCACTACTTGAGAGAAAGCCAGCTTGCAGCAGCTGACAGAAATACAAAACCAAAACTTAAAAAAAAAAAAAATCTGTAAATTCATTTCTGCTCTTGCAGCTCAGAATATAATTGCCAGTTTTTTTAAAGCCAAAACTACACCACTAATAGGCAAGAAAGTAGGAGGGAGGTAAGGAATAAAGAAAAGCTCAACAGCTGGAGAAGAAAACAATTAAAAATGAGGAGAAGGAGACTTAAGCATCTTGAAAAGAATCTGGGTAAACTCGCAAGATTTGTTTTTCTCACCGTTTACAGCTATACATCTGAACTGACTGTGTTGTTCCTCTGTGTCATTTAATATATGTGGGTTCATGCATAATTTTAAATTTATTTATTTATTTATTCTGTCATGGTGAAAAGTTGGTGAGGAAAACAAGAAAAAGAAATCTGCCTCTGCCTCCCAGCAATTTTGCCTCATTGCAGCAAACAGCAAATAGCCTGCTTTGCTTCCATTTTCGTTTTCAGCATAGCTTGAGTAGCACAAGAAAAAAAAAATCTGCTCCCAGCAATTTACCTCCTTGCAGCAAGCAGCAGAGCCCTGCGCAAAACAGCTGAGAGCAAAACAGCTGAGAGTCGGGAGGCCGATCAAATCAACTTGTGCTAATTAGGCTGTGCTGAAGCTGAAAGGAGCTGTTTCTGCTTGCTGATTGCTGCAAGGAGGTAACTGCTGGAAGGCAGAGGCCAAAGGGTGGGGGCCAGTGGGTGGGTAGGGCTACATTTGGTGTAGAAGATGCACATAAATTTTCACCCCCTTTTAGGAGGAAAAATACTCCGAAAAATACAGTATATTGGAGGTGACCAGAGTTGGGCGACACATGAATTAACAACCGGTTCGCCCAGCACCAAAAATGTGACCACGTGCATGCTTTCAACCCATGCATGCGGCCTTTCATGCATGCGCTTTGCTCTCTTGCGCGCTTGCATGCATGCGGCTTAAAAAAACGCAGCTAAATAGGACGGCATAGCGCCGGGGCAGGTGGGCGTGCCCACCCACAGGTCCCAACTACCGGTTCTCCTGAACCAGTCCGAACCGGCAGCAACCAACCATTGGTGGTGACCCTTTGAGAGCTGTATGCCACAAAATCTCATTTTAATATATGCCAATTAGTGTACATTCAAAGTGAAAATATGATCTGTCCCCGTCCACACACACACACACACACACACAAACACAGCCAGCCGAGGGTTAAGAAAGTACTTGGCACGCACAGAGGTCATTATTTCAAACTTGGCAGCAATATAATCACCGTCTGCCGAGAGCTTTTACTGCAACAGATAACATAAAATTACATACGCATTGCAAATAGTCCAGCAAAAACAATATCCCTTTCGGCAGCTTCAGACGTTGTTCAAGTGACTAGCCAAAGTTCATTTTTGTTCGTCACGGAGTTTTACCAGCCACCACCCTCTCTTATATAGTCTCTGGGGTGTGGTCCAGTGACTCAGTTCTAATCCCTAGCACGCCTCCTTAACTGCTGCAACCGTTTATCACGCCTTCGTTGGCGTGCATCCAGGAATGACGGCTCTCCTTCGCTCTCATCCGAGACACCTGGCTCCTGGCTAATCTCCTCTCCCTCGGCCGGCACCTGAGACAGTGCCAGAGGGGAGGGGCCTGGAGAGGGAGGCCTGGCTGACTCCTCTTCCTCATGTTCGGAGCTTTCTTCCTCTGATGAGATAGGCTCAGAGGGCGGGGCCACAACAAAATAAAGTTATTTTATCTATTCCCTCTATCCATCTACAGCTGAGAAATTCCAAAGGTGCTTTTCAAAAAGCATCTGGACTTTCAGTTCTTGCAGTCATCTGGTCATTAGCACTCTCTCTGTTGTGACTCCGACCCACGAGGCCGACTTATCGGAGGGAGAAGGCTCCGAATATGAAGGAGAGGAGTTGGCCAGGCCTCCCTCTCCAGGACCCTCCTCTCTGGCAATGCCTCAGATGTCTCCCAAAGGAGAAGAGATTGGCCAGGAGCCAGGTATCTCCTCGCAGTCGGACAGTGATGGAGATAAGTCTTGGCTGGATCCACGCCAGCGTCGGAGAGACAGGCGCATGCAGCAGAAAAGGAGGCGTGCCAGAGATTAGCTGAGTCATTGGACCACACCCCACAGGGGATAAAAGGGGGTGAGGTGGCCATTCAGACTCTGTGACGGACAAAACTAACTACTAGCGAGTCACATTGTATCTTTGAAACAACGTTATCTGCCTTGGATTTAATACGGACTGGACTTGACAATTCTTGAACTGTGTGTATCTTGTTTGGGTTTATCTGACGGAGGAACAACCCCTCCCTCTATGAGTAAAGTTCTTGGCAAGTAGCTACTGGGTTGCTGCCAATCCTCTTATCGAAAGAATTTGTTGTCTGCCAGTTTTATTTAACCCCTGGCTATCTGTTTGTGTGCGTGTGTGAGATGGGGACAGAACACTCTCTGAGAGTTGTGGAGGCCACTTGAAGCTTTATCTGTGCCTTCGGGGAACTGCTGAAAAGAGAGTCTTCAGAGAGAGTGCTAACGACCAAATGACTGCGACGAACATAAATTCTTCCATTCTCCACCATTCAGTCAGAACTGAAGAAGCTTCTCGGATGAAAAGTGAAACGTCTTCATGGAAAAACAAAGAAAGTTGCCTTTTGAAAAAACACCTTTGGGACAACCGTGATCGGGATGACTGAGAATCTCCATAGACATCCAGGTAAGAAAGAAGAAAGTAAAGCACTAGACTGATGGAAAAACCATAGAGAAACATTTAATGGCACAACATTTTATTGGCAGCTTTTCCCAAACTGCTCTCGTCTGCATGTCTTTGGGCTGCAATGTGCAACATGTTGAAATGGGCGACTTGTGGAAACCAAATAAATAAATAAATCCAGAGTTTTCCACAGCCAGTTGTGGCACTAGATGGGAAAGAAGAATTTGTTGAGAATTGAGAAGATTAATCACTTTCAAATACAGCTTGGTTTCGGCTGATTTCATAGAGGCGTATCCCAAACTTGGCCATTTTAAGATGTGTGGACTTCAACTCCCAGAATACTCCAGCTAGCAATGCTTGTCTAGGAGGGAGTCCTAATGTTTTTCAGCTGTAGCCATTTTAGGATGTGTGGACTTCAACTCCCAGAATACCCCGGGGTATTCTGGGAGTTGAAGTCCACACATCTTAAAATGGCGACAGCTGAAAAACACTGCTCTAGGGACTCCCTCCTTGATAAGCATCTTTAAAAAAAACTGATTTATTTTTTTTTAAAAGATCTTTGTCTAATTCACATTGTGCCAGATATCTCCTAGTATCATAAATACAGTGGAGCGCGGTGGCTCACGTGTTGAAGACACTGGGTTGGAGTTAGCAAGCCAGCGCTTGAGGCCCGAGTGCAGCTACGTGGCAGGGATGAGCTCCCGTCCTTCTCTCCAGCTCCCTGACGGGGACATAAAAGGAGCCCCTATGTGCGTCCCTCAGGGGAACGGTGATGTCACAGACCCAGACGTGGCTTAAACAGTGCCCCCGACACGAACGGGACAGGATAAATATAGTAATTACCAGAAAGATCAGCATCCCAGTTCAGGTTTGAGTGACTACTGGGTTCCCTTCTGGCTGAAGACCCGACCTGTGGGTTGGAAAGAAATGGAATTATATCAGCTCACAGGAGAAAAGGTGAGAAGTTGCTTTTTCATGAGACAAAGGTGCTTTTCCCCCTCTCTTTTCTCTCCCTCATTCTCTCCCTCCATCATTTTCTCATTTCTCTCTCTCTCTTTCTCCCCTTTTCTCTCTCTCCTTTCTCTCTCGTGTGCGCGTGGTTGAGTGGGGATACCCTCCACAAGTGAGCATAGAGGTGCTGCCGACAACACTGATTGAAAAACATCCTCAATGCTTTTCAATCAACGCTGCCACCGGCACCACTCAGCTGGAGGAGTAAAGAATCCCAGGACAGCGGGAAAAGGGGGCTGGTCCTGCCGAATCTCACATGCCCGCCCCGGGGATCAAGCTCGGAGAAAGCCGGAGCGATCACCCATCAGCCGGCCAACCTGCCAGCTCCACGCGCCTTCACTACACGTTGGCCGAGCCCGGCCACTCGCTTGAGGAGAGAATCCCCATTCGTGCGTGCCCTCCTGGCCCCGCAACAGCCAGCCAGGGGGGTCGCATGAGGAGGAGGAGGAAGGTTGTTTTCAGTGAAGCCGCCACCATGGTTCATGCTCACACCTCAACTGCAGGCCTGTCCCTCTTTCCGTCATGCCCTCCTCCTGGATCCCATTCCCACCCTGCCAGCCCTCGTGTTAGCGAAGGTGGCGTCGGCCACAGCCGGGTTGGGCTAGCGTCTCAGGGCAGAGAGCAGGTTGTGCGACCAGGTCGTCAGGGAGCCGCAGGAGAGCGGTCAAAGAGCCACATGCGGCTCTGGAGCCACGGGTTGCCGACATCCGATCTAGGAGGTGTTTTGATCATTAGGACAACATGAAAGGTTTTTTTACACCTTGTTCCTGTGCCTCTCTCTCCTCCAGCCTACTGTTAACAAAATACAGTATGCAGAATAATAGAATGGGAAAGGATGATGGTCAAGCAGGAGACTCTATACCAGGGGTGTCAAACTCAAGGCCCGCGGGCCGGATGCGGCTCACCGGGTGCTAAAATCTGGCCTGTATGGCCTGCCTGGAAATGGTGAAGGACCGGTCGGTGGTGCTTCTTCCGGCCAAAAAGAGGTGCAGGGGGGCTACGCAACGGCCTCCTGCAGCACTCTGCCAGCTAAAACGGGCCATGGGGAGACCATCCCATCTCCCACCGCCACCACCGTCGCTGCCCCCCAGGCAACCCGCAGAGCACTACAATGCTGATCCAGCCCTCAAAGTTTGACACCCTGTCCTATACTATTCTGGATAAATGGCCAATCTCTTCTTGAAAATCCTCCCTTGACAGAGCACCCACAACTTCCGGTGGCAAGCCGTTCCACTGGTTAATTGTTCTCACTGTCAGGAAATTTCTCCTTTGTTCTAGGTTGCTTCTCTCCTTGATTCGTTTCCATCCATTGCATCTTGTCCTGCCTATAGGTGTTTTGGGGAATAAGTTGACCCCCCCTCCTCTTTGTGGCAGCCCCTCAGTTATTGGAAGACTGCTATCATGTCCCTCCTAGTCCTTCTTTTCTCTAGACTATCCATACCCAGTTCCCGCAACGGTTGTTCCTATGTTTTAGTCTCTGTGATTAAGAAACGAAGGAGCTTCTTCTTCTTTTCGTTCTTGTCTTTCCCAGTCTCCAGTATGGCATTTACATCATACTTTCCTGCACTCTCTATTTCTCAACAAATCTATCTTTCGCTCCAGATATAATTAACATCTGTTTGCATTCACCAACACAGCTGGGTTAAGCCTCTACTTGGCATTCAAGCTACGCTATCGGCATTTATCTTTTGGAATTGGTTCGGCGACTGAATTACTCATGTTTCTTTAATGCTCTGCCTGTCCTCAGGAGCCCATCCCCTAGCAGAGGCTCCTGCCGAGTTCGGATTTCCACCGAAAAGGATCTTATCACAAGGGCAAATAATTGGTTAGCCCCACTGTCCTTAGGTGACTCTAGGGCAGAAATCGGTTCATAATCCAGATGACTATGTTGCTTGTATCCTTACGATTTATATTGATATTGTTTCCTGATTGCTTATTTGTACCCTATGACTATCATTAGGTGTTGTACCTTATGATTCTTGATGAATGTATCTTTTCTTTTATGTACACTGAGAGTATATGCACCAAGACAAATTCCTTGGGTGTCCAATCACACTTGGCCAATAAAAAATTCTATTCTTATTCTATTCTAAAAATTGTTCTTGGCCAGCCTCTCCCAATTTGGGGTTCCCCTCTAGGGATGGACTACAATATCCATTGCTTCCCTATTGCCTGGGGAGGATGAAAGTTGTAGTCCTCCCTGCAAGAATGGCATTCTTTCAAGACAAGGTATTCTAATCGGCAATCCCATTCTGAACGTCAGTCTCCTATCGTGATAGTGTTATTTTTAAATTAGTCTTTTGTCTTTGGATTTTTTTTTTCCTGCTGAAGAAAAAGATTGAAATAAAAAAGCAGACACATCTAATGTTTGATTCATTGGGGGGGGGGGCACCTTTGGATTGCAGAAAAGGAGATTTTAAGACAACCAATTTCTTCAATTGGTTAGAGCCTTGATAGCACAATGGTCTAAGCACCCTGTTATTAACACAGCTGCCTGCAATTACTGCTGGTTCGAATCTCTCCAAGGCTCAAGGTTGACTCAGCCTTCCATCCTTTCTAAGGTAGGTGAAATGAGGATCCAGTTTGTGGGGGCAATAAGCTGACTTTGTATAAATATACAAAAGTATGAAGGCTATTGCTTAACGCATTGTAAGCCGCCGTGAGTCTTCGGAGAAGGGCGGCATATAAATCAAATTAAAAAAAAAAAATTACTGGTAGCCCTTGACATACAACCATTCGTTTAGTGACCGAAGTTACAACAGGGACTGAAAAAAGGGATTTACGGCCATTTTTCACACTTATGACCATTGCAGCATGTGATTGAAATTCAAGGGCTGGGAAATTGGCTCATATTTATGACGGTGGCAGTGTCCTAGAATCATGTGATCCCCTTTTGTGACCTTCGGACAGGCCAAGTCAATGGGGGAGCCAGATTCACTTAACAATTTTATTACTATTTAACAACTGCAAGGTTTCATCTAACCATTTGTGAAAAGAACAGTCTGTAAAATGGGGCGAAACCTTCTTAACAATGGTCTTGCTTAGCAGCAGAAAAGTTGGGCTCAGTTATGGTCATAAGTCAAGGATTACCTGTACAGAGACTCTGGGCAGCCTACAATACAATGAAAGTTAAAAAGTGCTCAATTGCAGTCGTAAGTCAAGGACTACCTGAAGTCCTTTGCCACAGGATAGTTTTCTGTAGAAGAAAAAGATTTAAATAAAAAAAATACACCTATCCAATATCTGATTAACAAAGGAAGGTGGCACCTTTGGACTGCAGAAAAAGAGGTTTTTTAAAAACAGCTAATTTCCTAAATTATATGGAACATCCGCCTGATTCTGGCATCAGTTCTTCTTTCACCACAAAGGGGTGGGATGGGATGGGATGGGATGGGAAGAGATCCAGTGGTGGGTTTCAAATTTTTTTACTACCGGTTCTGTGGGTGTGGCTTGGTGGGCGTGGCCTGGCTTGGTGGGCGTGGCCTGGCTTGGTGGGTGTGGCCTGGCTTGGTGGGCGAGCAGGGGAAGGATACTGTAAAATCTCCATTCCCACCCCACTCCGGGGGAAGGATACTGCAAAATCCCCATTTCCTCCCGATCAGCTGGAACTTGGGAAACAGAGAATAGATGGGGGCAGGGCCAGTCAGAGGTGGTATTTACTGGTTCTCCGAACTACTCAAAATTTCCGCTACCGGTTCTCCAGAACTGCCCAGAACCTGCTGAAACCCACCTCTGAAGAGATCGTGGTTACGGAACAAATGACGATGCCCTTTAGTTGAGCTAAACAGGCTTGGATACACCTGCTGAACCTGCCAAGGAGTTTGGGGGGGGTCACCTGGCTGAAATGGGTGGCGTAGGAACCCAGAGAGAGAGTGTGGCTGGAAGCCGATCCATAATGGAGGCGCGAGTCCACCAGACCGCCAAGGGGGGGCTGCTTCCCGGGGATGCTGTTGTAGTAATTGTGTCCTGAGGAGTCTTCCTCTTCACCCCAAGAATCTTCCACTCCCATTGTCCTGATCAGAAAGACAAGTGGGGACAAGGCCAACGCTATATAAATTGAATGAATGAATGAATGAATCAAAGAAAGAAAGAAAGAAAGAAAGAAAGAAAGAAAGAAAGAAAGAAAGAAAGAAAGAAACACCAGAAAAAGAGAACAATGTCACATATTTCAGAAACATAGACATCTATAATGTGTCTGTGTGTGTCTGTGTGAGAGAGAGTCTGTGTGTGTGTGTTTATGAGAGTATGTGTGTGAAAGTTGTGTGTGTGAGTCTGTGTGAGAGAGAATGTGTTTGTGAATAGGTGTGAGTGTGCCTGTGTACATGGGTGTGAGTGTGAGCATGTGTGTGTGTGTTTGTGAGTCTATGTATATGTTTCTGAGTCTATGTGCATTTGTGTGTGTGACAGGCTGTGTGTGTGTGAGAATCTGTGTGTATGTGACAGATTCTGTGCATGTGTGCTTGTGTATGTGTGTGAGAGAGTCTGTGTGTGAAGGAGAATGTGTGTGAGAGAGAAACTGTGTGTGTGTGAGAGAGAGAGAATCTATGTGTGTGCGTGTATAAAAAAATCAAGGTGCATGCCACAATTACATGATCAAAACTCATTTTTACATGGTGTGTGTAAAATTGGGGAGGGGGGTGTGCCTTCAATATCCGGTTTCAATTTTTTTTACTACAACTTGGGTCTCCCCCCCTCCTGATCCAGCTCCTCCACACTAACACCTAATTGGCTCTTGGGTTAGGAGGGAGGGGCTGGCCCAGTGTCAGCCAATGAGCTTAGGTGGCTGAAGAAGGACTAGAACCTTGGTCTCCCAACCCCTAAACTACCCTTTCCCCACCACAGCTGATTGGCTGTTAGACTGGACTGGCCCACATACAGCCAATGAGCTTTCATGACTGAGGAGTACTAGATTGAGGGTCTCCCCTCTCCCAGCCCAGCATCTTCCTCACTACACTTGATTGGATCTTGGGCTAAGAGGGAGGGACTGGCCCAAAATCAGCCAATAAGCTTCTGTAGCTGAGGAGGACTACAATCTAGGTCTCCCTGTTTCTAGTGCAGCCACTTCCTCACTATATCTGATTGGCTCTTGGGCTGAAAGGGAGGAACTGGCTCACATTCAGCCAATGAGCTTCCGTACCTGGGGTGGGGACTAGAATCCAAATTTCCCTGTCCTTAGTCCAGACCCTTCTCTATTAGATTATACTTCATTGGATCTTGGAATAAGAGGGAGGGACTGGCCCAGAGTCAGCCAATCAGCTAACTGGGGGAGGGGGGGAGGGAGCAATCTAGAACCTGCAAGTCCAAATGTACAGATCTCCACAGGATCCTCAACGCATGGGGAAACTGAGGCTACAATCCCATACCTGTGGCCAGGGGGGCTTTTTATCAGGTTCGCCTGATCCACCAGTTGTGTCCCTTTCTGGATCGGGATGACTTACACACGGTCACTCATGCCCTCGTCATGTCCTGCCTGGACTACTGCAACGCTCTCTACATGGGGCTCCCCTTGAGGAGCACCCGGAGGCTCCAACTGGTCCAGAATGCGGCCGCGCGGGTGGTGATGGGAGCGACTCGGCGCTCCCATGTAACACCTCTCCTGCGCGAGCTGCACTGGCTCCCAGTGGTCTTCCGGTTGCACTTCAAGGTATTGGTTACCACCTTTAGAGCACTCCATGGCTTAGGACCCAGGTATTTTCAAGACCGCCTTCTGCCGCCAGTAGCCTCCCACCAACCAGTACGCTCCCACAGAGAGGGGCTCCTCAGGGTGCCGTCGGCCAAACAATGTCGGCCGGCAGTCCCCAGGGGGAGAGCCTTCTCTGTGGGGGCACCGACCCCCTGGAACGAGTTGCCCCCGGAAATACGGCGGATCCCGGATCTGCGCACTTTCCGCCGTGCCTTAAAGACGTTTTTGTTTCATCAAGCCGGGCTGACCTGATCTAACTTTTTAAAATTGTTTTAAATTTTAAATTGTTAAATTATGGGTTTAATATAGGGGTGTTTTAACTGTGGGCCAAATTAATTTAATTGAATTTTAATATTGTTTTAATTTTTGTATTTTCTGTATTTTATCTGCTGGCTGTTCACCGCCCTGAGTCCTTCGGGAGAAGGGCGGTATACAAATATAATATAATAATAATAATAATAATAATAATAATAATAATAATAATAATAATAATAATAATAGTACCACCTCTCCTGGGATGCTACAGTTTGGGGAGGGCTGTGCAAGTACTGCTTAAAGCGGAGCTCAAAGGCCTGCCCGACGGTGTTGATGATGCTTTGCGCCAATCCGTCACAGCATTCCAAGATGTGGCAAGCTGCCAAAGAGAAAGAGAAGATCCCCAACCAGAAATTAAACATATGTCAGGTTTCGATACTATCTCAAAATAAATGAATTTCCAAACTGCCGATCTTTGAGGAAATTTTCTCTTTATTGAGCATAGTGATCTGTCCCTGGCTCTTTTGCGGTCAGCACTGACCTTTGCCCCCCAATCCCTCCCTTTCCGATCCCCAGTTCTCTGTGTCTCATTGGCTATCTTCCAAGCCACTCTCCTCATCCCATCTCCGTCAGATCACAGGAATGTCCCCCCCTCCTCCCATCTCCGAGGAAACAGAATCTTCAAAGGAATTAAGTAGGCAAAAGTTCAAGCTTCTCCTCTCTTTTCATATGTCAGCGCTGGAACGCTGACAACATAATTTTCGCCGCCCCCACCCAAACAGATACACAAGAAGACACAAATAGGAGCGGGATGCAGCTGCAGAAACAGCCAATGCAATCTTAGGCTGTGTTAACGGGGCCAATAGGGCCTGTCAATGGCAGAACTCTGAAAGTAGGACATGCCTGGAGAAGTGAAAGTGAAAGTGAAAGTGAAATCAAAAGTGAAAGTGAAAGCAGGGGGAATGAAAGAATAAAACTGAGGTTTTCACCTGGATAATATTCACATTCTTTTCCCTGGTTCTTTCATGGCCACCACTCACTGGCATATCGTACAGGTAGTCCACGTTTAATGAACAGCTTTTTAGCAAGCGTTCAAACTTACGACGGGCCTCCAAAAAGGTCCTTACGACTCGATTTCAAAGTTCTGATGGCCACACCCTCTGTCACACTAATGTGATTGCAATTTGCGCTCTTGGCAACCGGCTCGCATTTACAGCTGCCTGCGGCATCCTGCTGTCATTTGACTGCGATTTTGGGGAGGTTTTGGTAGTTTCTAATCTTTTACTTCTAGTTGCCATAAAAAAAAATGCCCACTGGGTATAAAGGATTTGTTTAATGACTAGTGGAATTGTTTAACGACCACCACAAAAAGGTCATAACATTAGGTACTGTCACGTGATGTCCCACTTAATGACTGTCACCATTTACTGTCTATGGAGATTCTCAGTCATCCAAGTCATGGTTGTCCCAAAGGTGCTTTTTCAAGAGGCAACTGGACTTTTTTGGTTTTTTATGAAGTGAACTTCATAAAGTTCATCCTATTAAGATAATTGGATGAATTTCATAAAGTTCATCCAATTAACCAATGGAATGTTTTGCCTTTAGAAGTTGTGGGTGCTCCATGTGAGAAGGGGATGGCTCCATGTGAGCAGCGGGCAAACACGCACGCATGTGATTGTCCACTATTCATGCAAACGAGGATCAGAAATGATATTCAGCAGCTTCTGACCAGTTCTGGAGAACCGGTAGCAGAAATTTTGAGTAGTTTGGAGAACCGGTAAATACCACCCCTGACTGGCCCTGTCCCCATCTATTCTCTGCCTCCCGAGTCCCAGCTGATTGGGAGGAAATGGGGATTTTGCAGTAATCTTCCCCTGGAGTGGGCTGGGAATGGAGATTTTACAGTATCCTTCCCCTGGAGTGGGGTGGGAATGGAGATTTTACAGTATCGTTCCCCTGCCACGCCCACCAAGCCATGCCCACCAAGCCACACCCACAGAACCCACAGAAATTTGTTAAAAAAAAATTAATCCCACCACTGGCGTGGATGCGCGCACCCACATGGACTCACTTGCCCACCTCTTCCACAGCCCGGTTCCGAATAGTTCAAGCAGCCCAGGGGTTAGGGATCCCTGGTTAAATGAATCATGTAGTCGTTAAATGAATCTCATTCGCCCCCCCCCCCCCATTGCTTGTTGGAAGCCAGCTAGGAAAGTCTCAAATGGGGATCACATGACCTCAGGATACTGCAACCATCATATAAATACATGTCAATTGCCAAGTGCCACATGCCCAATTTTTGATCACGCGACCAAAGGGATGCTACCATAGTTGTAAAGTCACTTTTTTTCAGTGCAGTTGTAACTTCGAAGAGTCGCTAAATGAATGGTGGTAAGTCGAGGAGTATATACACAAAATGCACGGATGTATCAGCTATGGAAAAAAAACTGCTGACGCCTGGTGCATGCATTACTCTGTACACAAAGATGAAACATAGCATAATTTTTAAATATCACCTTTCGCAAGCTCCTGTACCACGCCATTGGCGATAGCTTTTAAAAAGGGGCATGCCATTTCTCTAATCACACTCACCTCGCTGGTTGATGGGATCCTTGGCAACATAAGCGACGTAATCGGTTGTATCCTGGCCAGAAATATAATTCAGAAACAAGAGAGTTAATGTTGAGGCTGCTGAGGCTGAGAAGCAGGACTTATAGCGGGAGGAATGAAGAGGAAGAGGAGTTAAGATAAATTTAGCCTGGATATGTTATGGCCATGTTCATTGGCATTCCACAACCTCCAAATGTGCCGGATTACAGTTCCCATAATCCCCTGTCAAGGGGGTTCAGATTTTTTTCTTTTAATTTAAATTTAACGTTAGAATGCAGAGCTGGGCCAAGGATGGGAAAGATATTAGCAGTGCACCAGTTGTGAATAGATTGGACATTTCTTCACAGGAGGGATTTAAAAGGAAGTTGGGAAGGCCTCTGAGGGAGATGTGGTAACCCTGGGTGAGGGGTTGGACTAGATGACCTCTGGGGACCCCTTCCAACCTTTTCATTCTAGGATTCCATAAAAGAATAAATTAGCCAAAGTTATGGGTTATTAACCTTGCTTAGCATGCTGTGGGAATGCATCTGCCAGATCTTCATTGACTTGGTTAACAGTGGACTGGAATAATGTCACTCAATCCTTCATGACAGTGTTTCTCAAAGCTTGGCAGCTTGAAGACTTGGGGACTTCAGTTCCCAGAATTCCCTAATTAGTTATGCTGGCTGGGGGATTCTGGGAGTTGAAGTCCACAGGCCTTCAAGCTCACAAAATTGAAAAACACCAAATGAAGCAATACAGAAAATTGTAACTCTTTAGTGCCATCTCCTGGGTGCGTGAATGTTAAGCAACCCAAATAGAATAATGTATACAATGAAGGGATGTCCATAGGATTGGGGGCAAAAAGGTCAAGATGGCTGCTCCACTTGCCACCATCTTGGTTTTTTGGCCTATCTCTGCCAGGGTTCTCTCATGACACCAAACCTTTCTTTTTCTCCTTTATTTAAGTCTTTATATATTTTCTTCTTTATTCAGACTTTCTCTGACAGACCCAGGAGCAAAATCTTAGCTTCAGCCCCATTTCTGTACTTTCTTCAGACTGCACCCTGTATCTGAGTCTCTTTTTCCTTCATTGTTTTTTGTCTGTTGAAGCTCAGTAAGCAGAATTGTGTGAGGAACTTCCTAAAATACTAAATTAACTTTTGGGGTCATGTTTTAACCAAGGATGTCCACAGCAGGTTTAAAAAAAGTCAAGAGGCTGACAGTAGCTGAGTTTTTAGATTTTTCAGGGTTTTTTTATTTTACGTATTTTATATTCTTTCTAGTTTTTAAAGTTTTTTACTGTTTTTTAAAAGTAAAAGCTTAAAAATCTTTTAAAGCTTTTACTGTTTTTATTTATTTATTTAATTCTGGGTAAATAAAATACTGTTTTTATTCTATTCTTCCTATGCCGATCTACAACAATGATAAATATTTTACTTGACTACACCTGTATGATTGAAGCCCTACCCCCTTTTAATGGAGGTGTGGCCTCAATCCCCACAGGCAGAGCTGAGCTGCCATTTTGACTTCTTTGACCTCTCTTGGGTTTGGCCCTGATTTGAACAGATTAGTTTTACTAATTCAATGAAAAGGGCTGGTCCCATCTTGACCTTGGTGATTGCCATAACATAGGGGAAGGGAATACCATATTTAGATTTTTTTTTTATGGGAAGATGTCAAAATTCAAACAGAGTAATGGGGAGGGTGTCAAAAATGGTGGCTATGATGATGCAATCATGTCTTACTTGGATCATGCATGCAGAACACATGTAAAAATGACATGTCATGTCTGCAAGAAGCCATCTTAATTTTTTTAACTCTCTACTACATCAAGGTTTCCCAGCTTTGGCCACTGCAAGACATGTGGAGTTCAATTCCCAGAATTCTCAACAGTGGCTTCTCCGGCTGTGGAATTCTGGGATCTGAGATTTACACCACTGGAAGTGAATAGAGTTAGGAAACACCACCCTATATGGACATTCCCTGTACACAAACCCTGGAAAGCTCTGACATCAACACCGCTTGGCATTCTGGGAAAATAAAATGACAGTCGACAACAGCTCAGGAGTGCCAAGAAACAAACTTTAGAGAAAAGGGAGAAATGGATAAAATGAATGTAATGTAACAAGGCAGCTTGACACGATGGCAGTGAATGGGTTCCCAAGAAAATGTGGTGAACAATTCTTCTCTGTCATTTTTAAATGTAAAGTAACACCCCAGTTTGACTCAAATGCTGCAAGGGGTCAATCCTTCCTTTCTTCTTTCATCTTTGCCCAGATTTGCAGATATTTCAATCTGGGTGTGCTAAAGACTCCTGAGTTCAGATTTCAGCAATCTCTCCAGATAACTGAACTTCAACTCCCAGTATGTATTGTAACAGCCTGGCTAGTTGGACCCGGATTGTGGGAGCAATAAGCTGACTTTGTAGAAACACCACTTATGGGGGGCCAAAAGCCCTAATAAGCAGGTATATACAAAAGAATGAAGGCTATTGCTATAAGTGCATTGTAAGCCGCCCTGAGTCTTCGGAGGAGGGCGGCATATAAATTGAACTAATAAAATAAATAAATAGCTGGAAATTCCTAGTCCATATGTCTTAAAGTGGCCTACTTTGGAAAACTAGACTCCTCAAATTCAAAGCAGTTCTTGACAGCTTTACCAAAGTGGTTTACCACTGTTTTCTCTCATCTAAGATTTCCTGGTGGTCTCTTTTCCAGTAGTAATCAGGGCCAACCCTTCCCAGCTTGCAACCTCAAACAAGAACTCCCAGCGATGTGAGCCGTACCGGCTGGGAGCTCTGCAAGTCATACTGGCTGGGAGATCTTGTGTGAGGATGCAAGTTATGAAGGGTTGGCTCCTTAGTACTGGAAAAAGAGACCACCAGGAAATATTAAACGAGAGAAAACAGTGATAAACCACTTCTGTAAAGCTGCCAAGAACTGCATTGGATTAGAGGAGTCTAAAACAGTGTTTTTTCAAAGTAAGCCATTTTAAAACATATGGTCATCAACTTCCAGAATTTCCCAGCCAGCCGTGCTGTACTGGGGAATTCTGGGAGTTGAAGTCCACGCATCTTAAAGTGGCTAAGTTTTTTTTTTTTAATTGAAAAAGTTTTACAATTACATTTTCTCCCCAATTCCCCCCCCCCACCCTCCCTGGCCTCCCTAACCCTCCCTAACCCCCCTAACCCTCCCCTCCCCCCCAGACTTCCTCAGAATATAATCCAAATCAAAATCCCCTTTTTATAAAACTTGAACCCGTCCACCCCCTGTATATTTTTCACATCTTCACAAAATTCTATTATTCTATCCCTATATAATCTTTCAGTTAAAAGCTATCTGATATTGCCTAGTTTGATATTTATTCTGCACATAATCTACCCACTTTTTCCACTCCCATACATAAGTCTCTTGTGAGCGGTCTTTTAAATATGCTGAAATCTTCGCCATCTCTGCAAAACTGGCCATCTTCAAAGTCCATTCTTCAATAGTAGGCATAGCTTCATTTTTCCAATATTGTCCTATCAGTAATCTTGCTGCTGTTATCATATACAATATCAACTTTATTTCACCCAATGTAAAACCCTTAACTATACCCAATAAAAATAATTGTGGAGAAAACTAAATTTTTTTCTTCAAAACATTCTGCATAACCCACCAGATTTTTATACAAAAAACCTGGCTAAGGTTGACTTAGTACAATTCAGGCCTGTGGCCTCTCAGTTTTGACTTCCTTGTTAAGTCCCACAACTGCTTGGACTGCAACAGCACAACTCCACAACCCTCTTCCTCACCTGACATGCTGTCACAGATCCACAAAAGATTTTGGTTACACTCTCTGGCTTATTTTAAAACTGTGCTCCAGTGGTCACTGGATTACCAGTATTTTACAGGTTGGAAGTGCCACACACTTACCAAATTGGCCGTGCTCTGAGCTCTCCCAATCTACAGATCCATAAACTGAAATAATAATAACTTTATTGTCATTGTACGTGTATACACAGTATACCCATACAACGAAAATTCACTTAACACCCAAAGACCAGGTCCAACACACATAACAATCCCCAAACATACTCCCACCCACCACAAATTCCTCACCCCTAAACCATCCAAACATCCACACAACAGACCAAGTAATGCTGCCCAACAGCTCACTGATGGTGAAACGTTATATATCCTGCTTGATATATAACTCCCTTCCAACTCTGTTCTTCTCTTATTCTGACCCAACGAGTTAGATTTCGCCCTATATGTTGCCTCAGAAAAAAATAACCTAACCAAGATTAAAAGCTAAATGGTTGTGAGAATGGAGCCGCTGGGCTTTTTAACTCATCTTGGCTAAACAGATTCATCTTGTGAATCTGGCTAGCATTTCGCAGGGCGCAGAAGCTGCTTCCTAGCTTCTACGGAGGCCAAAAAAAAAAAAAAAAATCCAGCTCATTAGTTGTTAAATTGCCTTTGTTCATTTCCTGCGAGGCAGAATCTCTCGCTCGCTTTTTCTGTGACATTTACACAGCCCAGACAAACACATTGAAATTTTGACACCTGAGCAAGCGGCAAGCTTTTCTCTAGCCTGGAAACAAGCCTTTTGTTATCGTGTGTGTGTGTGTGTGTGTGTGTGTGTGTGTGTGTGTGTGTGTTTGTGTGTATGGGCAGGTGTGTGTTTGTGTGTCTATCATACACACACATACACACACACAAATGTACATCCTTTCTTACCTTCATACCTCTGCCTGCATTTCATCCCCATCTAAGGGAAATGTTTTAGCAGAGACATCTTTATAAAAACACCATGCAGGTAATCCTCGACTTACAACAGTTCATTTAGTGACCATTCAGAGTTCTAACGCCACTGAAAAAAGTTACTTATGTTATGACCGTTTTTCACACCAGTGACCATTGCAGCATCCCCATGGTCACGTGATCAAAATTTGGATGCTTGTCAACTTCTCGACTGGACTACTGCAATGCTCTCTACATGGGGCTCCCCTTGAGGTGCACGCGGAGGCTCCAACTGGTCCAGAATGCGGCCGCGCGGGTGATATTGGGAGCGACATGGCGCTCACATGTAACACCTCTCCTACGCAAACTGCACTGGCTCCCAGTGGCCTTCCGAGTGCGCTTCAAGGTGTTGGTTCTTACCTTTAAAGTGCTCCATGGCTTAGGACCTGGGTACCTACGAGACCACCTTCTGCAACCGATAACCTCCCACCAACCAGTATGCTCCCATAGAGTGAGCCTTCTCAGGGTACCGTCACTAAAGCAATGTCGACTGGGGGAGAGACCTTCTCTGTGGGGGCACCTACCCTTTGGAACAGGATACCCCCAGGGATACGAATGATCCCAGATCTCCGTACATTCCGTCGTGAACTTAAGACCTTTCTGTTTCACCAAACCGGGCTGGCATAAATTTTTTCTAATTGTCTAAATTTTATGCTGAAGATCTTAACTTAACTGATGAGCCAAATTGTCTTAATTATTTTAAATTGCTTTTATTTCACATTTTTATATGTATATATGTTTGACTGTTCACCGCCCTGAGTCCTTCGGGAGAAGGGCGGTATAAAAATTAAATAAATAAATAAATAAACTGGTTCATATTTACGACGGTTGCATTGTCCCGGGGGTCACGTGATCCCCGTTTTGCGACCTTCTGACAAGCAAAGTCAAGGGGGAAGCCAGATTCCAGCAACAACCATGTTACTACCTTAACAGGTGCAGTGATTCACTTAACAACTGTGGCAAGAAAGGTCGTAAAATGGGGCAAAACTCACTTAACAACTGTCCCGCTTAGCAACTGAAATTTTGGGATCAATTATGGCTGTAAGTCAAAGACTATCTGTACCAAGTAATACCACATCGTCACTATCATCATAATTATTATCCTCACCATTATTATTTCGAAAGACGTTATCGTCATGTTCTGCAGCAGGAGAATTACAGGGAGTCCTTGACTTACGACCACAACTGGGCCAGGGACTTGTTGTTTAATGAGTTACACCCCATTCTTTGCCATGGTCTTTAAGTGAGTCATGCGATTGCCAAGCGAATCCAGCTTCCCGGATTTGACTTTGCTTGTCGACAGTATGCTGGGAAGTCACATATGGCAATCCAGTGATCCTGGATGCTGTATTTGTCTTAAACAAAGCACCGTTGTAACTTTGAACAATTGTTAAACTGATAGCTGTAAGCCGAGGATTATCTGTAGTATCATTTTGTTAATTAAGAGAGTGTTGATCTCTGATTTTAGACTAAGGCTGGTTTTAGACTAAAAACTCTATGGATTGGGCCTCTATTTAGCAGGAAGGCAATTGTTTTGCTGTTGAACATATTTTCTTAATTAAATAAGGGGAAGAGGTGAAGAGTCTCTTTACTATGAGGATTAGGGTTCAAGTGATCGAGTCTTCTCTTCTCTTTTTCATCCATTTACTTCCTTTCCTTTTCCTTTCTCTTTCCCTTTCTGATTCCTTTCCTTTTCCTCCCTTCCCTTTTCTTCCTTTCCTTTCCTTTCTTTTCCCTTCCTTTTCCCTTTCCTTTTTTCCCTTTCCCTTTCTCTTTCCCTTTCTGTTTCCTTTTCTTTTCTTCCCTTCACTTTTCTTCCTTTCCTTCCTTCCCTTTCCTTTCCTTCCTTTCCTTTTCTTCCCTTCCCTTTTCTTCCTTTCCTTTCTTTCACTTTCCCTTTTCCTTTCCCTTTCTGTTTCTTTTCCTTTTCTTCCCTTCCCTTCCTCTTCTTCCTTTCCTTTCCTTCTTTTCCCTTCCTTTTCCCTTTCCTTTCTTTCCCTTTCCCTTTCTCTTTCCCTTTCTGTTTCCTTTTCTTTTCTTCCCTTCACTTTTCTTCCTTTCCTTCCTTTCCCTTTCCTTTGTTTCCTTTCCTTTTCTTCCCTTCCCTTTTCTTCCTTTCCTTTCTTTCACTTTCCCTTTTCCTTTCCCTTTCTGTTTCTTTTCCTTTTCTTCCCTTCCCTTCCCTTCCTTTCTTCCTTTCTTCTTCTTTCCCTTCCTTTTCCCTTTCTTTCTCCTTTCCTTTCCTTCTCTTCCCTTCCCTTCTTCCTTCCCTTTCTCTCCTTTCCCTTTTTCTCTTTTCCTTTCCTCTCCTCTCCTCTCCCTTTCATCTATTTACTTTCTTCCCTTTCTCCTTCTTCATCCATTTCCTTCCTTTCCCTTCCTTTTCCCCTTCCTTTCCTCCCCTCCCCTCCTTTTTCACCCATTTACTTCCTTTCTTTTTTCCTTCCCTCCCCTATCTATTTCCTTCTCTTCCTTTCTTTTTATTATCCATTTATTTCCTTTCCCCTTTTCTTCCCCTTCCCTTTTGCCTTGCCTTTACTGTTGCCTTTTAGACATTATTTTAATCATCTTTTCTTGCAGCAGTGGAGTTTGGAAAAAAAAAAAAAATCTCCTTGCCAAGGTTATATTATCTGCTGCTTTGAAAATGTCAGCTTTGTTAGATTCTGAGATAAATGACCTGAAGAAGGATCATAACTCAGTAACACAGAGACACAGACTGCCATGTAGGCACCATTTCTTCACATAATGCCTCATTCATCATCATTTAATGACCCCGTAATCCCTTGCAGGAGGGGTGGGGAGTCTGGGCAACTGAATGGAGCTAGCAGAGTGTTTTAATGGCCGGATGCCTTTCCTGTCGCCAATGCAGAGTTTTGTTCAGCAGATAAATTCTCATTGTGCCCAGATAGAGAAATATCTGCCTCTACCTAGGATCGAACTCACAGCCTCCTGATTGTGAGGCAAGAGCTCCCCCTCTAGGCCACCGCACCACTCTCACACAATGCCTCATCAATACCCTGTGGAAATCATGGCTAGGAATGGCCACCAACTGGGATGGCTTTTAAAGAGGGCCAGACAACCAGTTGCCTCCTGAAAAAGCACCTTTGGGACATCCTGCTACAATGCCTTAAATATTATTAAACCAAAAACCACATCTGCCTATCCCATGTCCTTGGGGAAGATTCAATAGGTGGACAAAAATGCCAAATCCAAATGCCAAAGAGCCTTGGTGGCGCAGCAGACTAAAGTGCTGTTAAGTAGCACCAGCTGCCTGCAGTTACTGCAAGTTCAAATCTCACCAGGCTCAAGGTTGACTCAGCCTTCCATCCTTCCGAGGTAGGTAAAATGAGGACCCAGATTGTGGGGGCAATAAGCTGACTTTGTATAAAAAAGAACACCGCTTAGGGGGCCCGAAAGCCCTACTAAGCAGGTATATACAAAAGTATGAAGGCTATTGCTTAACGCATTGTAAGCCGCCCTGAGTCTCCAGGGAAGGGCGGCATATAAATCGAACCAATAAATAAATAAATAAATAAATCCAGGCTGAACATCTGGCTGACTGTGCAACCGACCATAAAAACACATTAGCAATGGCAATAGCACTTAGACTTATATATGGCTTCACAGAGCTTTTACAGCCCTCTCTAAGCTGTTTACAGAGTCAGCCTCTTGCCTCTGACAATCTGGGTCCTCATTTTACCCACCTCGGAAGGATGGAAGGCTGAGTCAACCTTAAGCCTAGTGGGATTTGAACTGCCAAATTGCAGGCAGCCGGCAGTTACCAGAAGTAGCCTGCAGTACCACACTCTAACCACTGCGCCACCAAGGCTCACCGAGAATTAATAATAATTCTGCATTTCTTTCCTATGGATCTAAGCACCCACATTCCCTCCCGTGCACAGAACACATAACATTCAACGTTCCCCTTACCGTGTCACCCCCCGAAGCGAAGGAGATAGATTGCATGTGGTGATTCGCGATGATCTACAATGGAAACAGACAGATAGAGATGGAAGGGAAGGTATGATCAGCTTTGTGAGGAAGAAGGGGGAAAGGCCAATAAAAAGGCTTGGGCATTGCTCAGCAAATTGGCTGGATCATATTGTTCATTAACAGGAATCTGCAAATTTGGCAACTTGAAGACTAGTGGACCAGTGGTGAAATCCTCTGAAGTCTACTACCAGTTCTTCGAGTCTACTATTGAGTGCGCGCCTGCGCAGCGCTAAAAGATAAACATTTTGAAGCCTTCCAAGTCTGCAAAGATAAGTAGAATAGCGGGGGGGGAATCCGCTGTGCCACGTGATTTAGATTAGCTAAAAAGCAGGAAATCCGACGATTCTAGCTAATATAAATCGCGTGACACAGCTGATCGTCGCCCAGCTGATCGTCGGAAATACTGGTTCGCCCGAACCAGTCTGAACCGATAGCATTTCATCTCTGTTGTGGACCTCAACTCCCAGAATTCCCCAATCCTTAATTGGCTGGGATCACCCCATGCAGCCAGTTGAAAAACACCAGGTGTTTGCTATACAGGCAGTCCTTGATTTACGACCACAATTGGAAACAGAAAATTCACTGTTAAGCAATGCACTTATTAAAGTGAAATACCACATGACTGCATCCAACATTGCAACCTTTTTTTCAGCAGTCATTAAGCGAGACATCGTATGTCCACAACTTGCGTCCTTCCCTACCGATTTCCCCGTTGTTGGATGCCAGCTAGGAAGGTCACAAATGGCGATCACGTGATCCCAGGATACCACAATCGTCATGAATGTGAATTCATTGCCAAGCACTCAGCTCACAATCCGGTAACCATGGGGATAATGCGACAGTTGTAAGTGCAAGGACCAATTGTAAGTCAACGCTGTCGTAACATCACACAGTTGCTAAATGAATGGTCGTACGTTGAGGACTGCCTGTAAGTTGATTTTACTGCAAGGCAGTGCTTTCTGATTTTACCCATTCAAGAAAGGATCCCTAATTGACTGGGATCATCCATACGGTCAATCCAAGAATCTCACTCTAAATTGGCAACATAGGCCTATGTTTTATGTTTCGGTGGATTCAAGCAGGAGATTCAGGCAATTAAATTAGTATAAAGATTTATGGCAAGCTTAAGCTCTCTACAAGAATCTAACCAACTAACAGTCAAGGGAAATGAACGGGAGATAAGAAGGCATTGACAGTGGGCTGGATTTAGATTGGGCGCGCAGGGACTCGTGACTTATGATGTGTTTGACCCCTCCCTTGGGCTCAGCCTGCTTTTCTCCTACAAATTCCTAATCTCAGCAAGATGTGTTTTGAAGTGGAGGTTTTCAGATTTGCCTTCTTCCAACACATACCTGAGGGAGGAGGAGTCAGATGGCAGATGGAACAACCCAAATGGAGGAGGATGGAGGTCTCACCTGTCGAGTGGTGGGGATCATCAGGTTCAAACCATCGATGGAAATGTTGACAGCTATGCTAATGCCAGCAAATCGGAGATTGCTCTTGCCAAGGATTGAAAACAGGCTTTTGTTTGGCGCCTGGGAAAACAGAATCAGAGACCATCCGATCTATGAAAGCTCTTCAAACCTTTGTCAACTCAGCAAAGTCAATGGGGCAGCTTAACGACTGATTCACTTAAATCAAGGGTGTCAAACTCGATTTCATTGAGGACCGTGTCAACATTGTGGTTGTCCTTGTGGGGGAGGGCAGTGGAGGGGTGGGGGGTGGCCGGGGTGGTCACGGCCGACTGGGCGTGGCCAGCTCAATGTTGCTCACGTGGGAGGGCTCCTGTGGGGGCCAAGCGGGGTTGGGGAGGGAATCCAGGGGTCTCCGGTGGGTTGGGAAGGGAGCAGGAGGCTCGTCCCACAGGACGAGATGAGGTGAGGCAAGGCAGAGGGTGGGGCAGCTGCTGCCAGAAGCCATCGACCATCACGCGCTTGCCGACCTTTGTGTGCGGGGGCTGATGGTTTCCGGCAGCAGCCGCAGCCTGCTGGCCCCTCAGCTAGCGCACTGTGCAGCTCCAGAACCCTCTTCCACTGGGCTGGCTGCCCAAGCAGCAGGTGCAGCGGCGGCATCAGCAGCAGGCGGAGGGGAGGCACGTGATGCAGATCGGTGGACGAGATGCTGTGCTTCTCGGATGGAAAGCCAGGAGTCCAGGTTCGAGACCCGAGTGACCGGGTGAGCTCCCGTCCTCATCTCAGCTCGCAGTTCAAAAGCATGAAAACGCGAGTATATAAATAGGTACCACTATGATGGGAAGGTAATAGCAAATCCCACTCCTGGCTGGCCCCGCCCCACCCCAACCTGCCCCTCCCAGGAGTCCCCACACAGCCTGTTTTGGATGCAGGTAAGCGCAGGGCGCACGCGGAGGCTTGGGGGTGGCAAAAAACCTCCGGGCTTATCGGAAGTTCGGGAAGGCCAGAAATGGGCCCGTTTACAGCCTCCAGAGGGCCTCCGGAGCCTGGGGAGGCTGTTTTCGCCCTCCCGGAGGCTCAAAGAAAGCCTCTGGAGCCTGGGGAGGGCAAAAATCCCCCCCCATGGTGCAGGAGGGCAACTAGGCCACGCCCACCATGGCCACGCCCAACCAGCAACCGAGCAGAGAACCCTTTCCAAAAAATTTTGAAGCCCAGCTCTGCAGATGACCACAGAATTGTCTTCGGCTATGCTGCTTCAATGGTCTTGAAACGGAGATGAGCATCAGCCCTTACAGTTGGCAATGATTAGCGGAGTAAAATCTGCAAGGATTTCTTTACTTTTTACTCATGTGCACCGGGGGGGCTCCAGTGATCCAAACACACTCACTTTTTTCTTCCAGTTCCCTCTGACTCCCGGGACTGTCTCATACAGTCGGTTGATGGCTTCCCTGCAGCAAAGATAATTTCAGGATGGATATTAATTCCAGGAAAAATAAATAAATCTCAGATGTTGCTTTAGCTAGATTTTGTCATCCAGCCGAAGCTTGTGCTCATTCACATGGTGAGTAGCCTATTTTGCAAATGACTCAAATTGTAAAATTACTCCAAAAAGATCACACCAAACCACAAAAGCATTATCCAATCTGAAAGCTAACCACGCTTTGGTTGTGCTACAAATAGATCTCTTATTATTTTCACTGATCTAATTAATTAATGTTGCATGGCAATATCAGGATGTCAGTAACTTCCACCTGCTTCTCTCAGGCAAAGATGCTGGGGCTGCCTGGCTATAATCCCTCACTAAAAGGCAACATGACAAATTACAGGTAGTCCTCAATTTATAACCGTTCATTTAGTGACGGTTCAAAGTTATAACGGCACCTGAAAAAAGTGTTATGGGAAAGGAACTATAAACTAACAATGTCCACTGCATATAAAGAGAATCAATATAAAATGTTTTATAGATGGCATATGCCTCCGGAAAAAATTGGAAAAAATGTTGAAAGACAAATCAGCTAAATGTTGGAAATGCCATCGAATACCAGGATCTTATTATCATATGTGGTGGACATGCCCAGAAGCTAGAGACTATTGGAGCAGAATTAAGACATGGTTAGAAGAATGGAATGGAATGGAATGGAATGGAATGGAATGGAATGGAATAGAATAGAATAGAATAGAATAGAATAGAATAGAATAGAATAGAATAGAATAGAATAGAATAGAATAGAATAGAATAGAATAGAATAGAATAGAATAACAGAGTTGGAAGGGACCTTGGAGGTCTTCTAGTCCAACCCCCTGCTTAGGCAGGAAACCCTACACCACTTCAGACAAATGGTTATCCAACATCTTCTTAAAAACTTCCAGTGTTGAAGCATCCACAACTTCTGCAAGCAAGTTGTTCCACTGATTAATTGTTTTAACTGTCAGGAAATTTCTCCTTAGTTCTACGTTGCTTCTCTCCTTGATTAGTTTCCACCCATTGCTTCTTGTTCTACCCTCAGGTGCTTTGGTCCAACAACATATTGATTTAAAACCTGAGCTGTTCCTATTGGGTATACTACCAGAAAAAATTAGTAAGAGAAAATATATATTTGATTATACATATAATAACAATAGCGAGGATAGTATTCGCACAAAGATGGAAAGCAGAGAAAATCCCTTTGGAAGGGGAAGTCATTAAAAAAAATCTTAGATTGTGCAGAAATGAACAGATTAACTTTGATGATTAAAGAGAGAGAGGATATGGACTATTATAAGATATAGGGGAAATTTTATGATTGGTTAAAAAAGAGATATAGATAAAGATTGTGATAATTAAATAAGGAGACTGTTATATTAAATGTAGTGTAATTTGGGGAAAATATCGCAACAGAGAAATGGAAACTATCAAGGAGAAATGAAGATAGGAGGAGTAATTAATAAAAAGGAGAAGTAGTCATGGAAGAAACACCGAGAAGACACACAGAAGGATTGATGTGTTTGTTTGTTTGTTTAAAAAAAAAACTTTTATAAAAAAAAAGTGATTTATGACCAGTTTTTCACAGATACGATCTTTGCAGCATCCCCATGAATCATATGGTCAAAATTCAGACGCTTGGCAACTGACTCACATTTATGACGGTTGCAGTGTCCCAGGATCGTATAATCAACTTTTGCGACCTTCTGACAAGCAAAGTCAATGGGGAAACCAGATTCACTTAACAACCGGGCTACTAAGTTAATAACTGTAATGATTCACTTAACAACTGTGGCAAGAAAAGTTGTACAAAGGGGCAAAACTCATTTAACAAATGTCTTACCTAACAACATAAATTTTGCATTCACTTGTGGTCGTAATAAGTCGAAGGCTACTTGTGTCTTCCCATAAAAGAGATACCTTATGAAAAAGATGTTGTCTTCTTAAAGGATATAAGCAGGGGTGAAATGCTCCTGGTTCGGACCAGATCGCCTGATCCGGTAGCGATGGCAGCGGGAGGTTTGGAGAACTGGTAGCAAAAATCCCTGCGCCCCCACCACATTGCTCAGCTGAGTCACATAATCATCAGTTTTTTTTTTTTCTTTTAAAAGCATTTTTTTCTACAACCTCTTCCGACGAAAAAATGCTTTCAAAAGTAAAAAAAAAGCCTCTGAGGATCACACGGCTCAGCTGGGATCATCAGAGGCATTTCAAAGCATTTTTTTCTGCAACCTCTTGGCCGAAGAGGTGGTAAAAAAAATGCTTTGAAAAGTCTCTGACGATCCCAGCTGAGTTGCATGATCGCCAGAGGCTTTTCAAAACATTAGAAAAAATGCTTTGAAATGTTAAAAAAAAAAAGTTGGACACACCCACCCAGTCACATTACCCCCACCACAAACCAGTAGTAGTACTAGTAGTAGTAGTAGTAGTAGTAGTAGTAATAATAATAATAATAATAATAATAATAATAATAATAATAATAATAATTGTATTTCTATACCGCCCTTCTCCCGAAGGACTCAGGGCGGTGTACAGCCAATTTAAAAACACAAGACAAAACAATGATTAAAAATTAAAATAATTAAATAGATTTGGCCCGGTTTAAAACCCTGAAAATTTAAAATACCCCAATTTAAAATTATTATGTGGATAGCCCGGCCTGGCGGAACAACAGGGTCTTCAGTGCGCAGCGAAACACCCGGAGGTCGGAGATCTTACGTATTTCCGGGGGCAGTTCATTCCACAGGGCTGGGGCTCCCACAGAGAAGGCCCTCCCCCTGGGTGTCGCCAGCCGATATAACTTGGCTGACGGCACCCTGAGGAGACCCTCTCTGGGAGCGAACTGGCCGGTGGGAGGCTATTGGTGGCAGAAGTCAGTCTCGAAGGTATCCGGGTCCAATGCCATGGAGCGCTTTAAAGGTGATGACCAACACCTTGAATCGCACCCGGAAGATCACTGGGAGCCAGTGCAGCCCGCGCAGGAGGGGTGTCACGCGGGCACAACGAGTTGCGCCCATAACCACCCGCGCGGCCGCATTCTGGACCAGTTGGAGCCTCCGAGTGCTCTTCAAGGGGAGCCCCATGTAGAGAGCATTACAATAGTCCAGCCGGAAGGTGACGAGGGTGTGAGTGACCGTGCGCAAGGCGCGCAAGGCGTAACACATTTTACATTTCACCCCTGGATATAAGGAAGCTAATGATAAAAAGGAGGCTGTTTTCTTAAGGGACATAAGGAATGAGGGGTTTTTGGTGCTCTCTGAGCTTGCTTGCTTTCTTGCAGACGTTTCATTACCCAGCTAGGTAACATCATCAGTGCTAGTCCTGATGATGTTACCTAGTTTGGCTAATGCAACTTCTTCAAGAAAACAAGCAAGCTCAGAGAGCACCAAGGACCCTTTATTTCAACCCTGAGCTACAAATATTCTCATTATTGGGACATAAGGAAACTAACTATGAAAAGTTGGCCCTCTTTTTAAGGGACATAAGGAAGCTGATTTATACAGGCCAATCTATTTGTCCATCCGTCCTAGGGGCAAGCAATCGACGGCCTTGTATGCCCCATTTTTCTTTCCCAGTACCCTTTTGGACTCCCCCAGAGTAAACTATGTCAATGGGTCAAATTTTGAATCCACTGTGGGAAATGCGGAGCTTCAAATATTCAGGTGAAATTGTCAGAGTGTTTACAGCATGACTACTATTTTGAGTCCAACCAGGAGCAAAATACAGGACAGAGGTTTGTCTTACAAACAGTGGTTTATATAGAAGACTTCTATATGCAGACATACACATGGTAGGCACATACCAGACAAGCAATCAATCTTCAACTCTACACGGAGAACTACAATGCAGATACATGTGACGAGGAGAGTGATACACGAGGAGAGAGAGACGCCCTCTAATGGCCTCCCTTATATAGACAGCTTCTTAAAGGGCAATAACCCTGCTGACTCATCCTCAGTCTTAAAGGCTGGTCAGCTTTAAATCTTCATTACCCTGACAGAAATTAATACCTTCCTTAAATGTCTGCGATACCTGATTTACCCTTTGAAACTCTCCTACCTGCCTCCAATGCAGTGGTGAAATCCAAATTTTTTTACTACCAGTTCTGTGGGCGTGGCGTGGCAGGCGTGGTGTGGCTTGGTGGGTGTGGCTTGGTAGGCGTGGCAGGGGAAGGATACTGCAAAATCCCCATTCCCTCCCTACTCCTGTGGGAAGGATATTGCAAAATCTCCATTCCCACCCCACCTCTGGGGCCAGCCAGAGGTGGTATTTGCCGGTTCTCCGAACTGCTCAAAATTTCTGCTACCGGTTCTCCAGAACCTACTGAATTTCACCACTGCTGTTGTGACCCAGGCCCACACAGTTGATATTAAATGCAAAACAGTTCCAAAAAACAAACAGATTTTATTAAAACAGCTGAGAATTAACTCATTCTCAGCATATTCTAAATTAAATGAAAGCAAAGTCCTCAAAGCACCAGTCTTCAGTTTATCTCTGACCTTGGGATAATTAGGCAAACTGCCAAAGGCTTTTCTTGGCAACAGTTCAGGAACAGAAGAAATAACTACAGCCAAACAAGAAGCAATTCTCTCAACGGTTGTTTTCCGGCAAAGAGACCAAGAGCTGTTGCTGGTTTTTTAAGCCTTATGGGAGGGGCCAATCATCTCTTGGCCCTACTCCCGAGTTGTCCTCTTTGCTTGAGCTGCTCTTGCCTTCTGGCAGCTCTTCTCATACGTGCACTAGGAACAGGCTCCTCCTGTTCCTCTGCCTCTCTACTGTCAGCCTCTGGAGGCTCCGGAGTCCACACATCTCTCCCTGATGGCCCTGGCCCCTATCTCTGCTCCGACGCAGAGCCCTCATCCGGGCCTTCCCCAGCCTCCAGGATTGGCCCATGTTCTTCCTCAGCCTCATCGCTGTCCGACTCCCGCTGCCAGCTCCGCAGGCTGCTGGCGGACCACAACACCTGCTCCAATGGCTCAATATTGGTCTTTCCCCACCTATGAGGTCATTATAGGCATAGGACCCGGGTACCTTCGAGACTGTCTTCTGCCACCAATAGCCTCCCACCGACCAGTCCGTTCCCACAGAGAGGGTCTCCTCAGGGTGCCATCAGCCAAGTTATGTTGGCTGGCGACACCCAGGGGGAGGGCCTTCTCTGTGGGAGCCCCAGCCCTTTGGAATGAACTGCCCCCAGAAATTCGTAAAATCTCTGATCTCCGTGTGTTTCGTTGCGCATTGAAGACCCTGTTGTTCCGCCAGGCAGGGCTGTCAATATAATAATTTTAAATTGGGGTATTTTAATTTTTAGGGTTTTAAATCGGCCAAATCTATTTAATTATTTTAATTTTTAATTATTGTTGTGTCTTGTGTTTTTAAATTGGCTGTACACTGCCCTGAGTCCTTCGGGAGAAGGGCGGTATAGAAATAAAATTATTTATTTATTTATTTATTTATTATTTCATCGGTCACATCCCCAATAACCCTTAAGAAAAAAGAAAAAGTTCCCCTTATTCAGGTGTGTCAAACTGGCGGCCCATGGGCCAGATGTGTCATGCACAGGCCAAACACACACCCCAGCTCCACGAAGGGGAAAATCATCGCGAAACCATCACGTGACAGCAACATGACGCTGCGAGTTTGACACCCGTGTGATCTAATCAAATTTTGGGGACCCTGAATAGGAAGATTTCTGCAGGTGAGGCAAGAGAGGCTCACCTGGTGAGTCCAGAAACTGACAGCAGCTCTCCTCATTCTCTGTCAAACAAAATCTTTCCCACAATCTGCTGACTCTTGTGATCGCACTAGCACTTATATACCGCTTCACAGTGCTTTACAGCCCTCTCTAAGCAGTTTACAGAATCAGCCTATGGCCCCCAACAATCGGGGTCCTCATTTTACTGACCATGGAAGGCTGAGTCCACCTTGAGCCAGTGAGACTCTGGCAGCTGGCAGTCAGCAGAAGTAGCCTACAATACTGCATTCTAACCACTTTGCCACCACGGCTCGTAATAATAAAGCTAGCATGAAATAACTTGCCGTTAAGTTCAAGCAACTATCTCTTATAGGAAATTCTAGTTTAGTGACCAACTAGGTTTTTCCATCCCAGATTGTTGTTGTTGTGTTGCAAAGTCGTGTCCGACCTATCGCAACCCCACGGACAACGTTCCTCCAGACCTTCCTGTCCTCTACCATCCTCTGGAGTCCATTTTATTGGGACATATCAAATTGGCACAGACTTGGTGGAAAACCAGCTCTACGTTCCCGCTGGTTTTACACCCAATTAAAAGTAAAACTTTGTCACTTCCCCCCCCAGAGTGTCCAGTCACATGGTCCAATCAGCATGTAGTCCAGTTGCTAGGTGACCCCAGTCTCCACCTTTCGAACACCTGCACGAACGTCCTTGACTCCCAGGGGAAAGAATTTTATTTAGGCTACAAACCCCAGCTATTCAGGCTGTGCCAGCCCTGAAGCAATGGGAAGAGAAACCTCCTTAGAGGAAAGCAACCAGGAAAAAATGGCCACTGTTAGGCCAGCTTCAGGATTGACACTGGGGTCATCCCCTTTTGCGACTTTCCCAGTCAGCTTCAGAAAAGCAAAGTCAATGGGGAAAGTTAGGTTCGCTTAATGTCCATATGATTCACTTAACCACTATTATAATTCCCTTCACAATCATGGCAAAAAAGATTTTTAAAAAAGATCCAAAAGTTGCGGAGGCTCCATTGTTGAAGGCTTTCAAGGAAAGATTGGACAACCATATATCTGGGATGGTATCAGGTCTCCTGCAATGGGCAGGGGGTTGGACTAGAAGACCTCCAAGGTCCCTTCCATCCAGTGGTGGGATCCTACCGGTTTAACAATTGGTTTGCTGAGCGCTCGCGCCAAACGCACGGTGCGTGCGCGTGCACAGTTTGCAGAAAACTGAACTTCTGCGTTGCTGAGAGCAAGGAAAACAGCTGAGGAGCGGCAATCCACTCCGCCGTGCCGATCAGCTGGGCTTCAGAAGCAGAAATATAGCTGAGTATAACAGAGGGGCAGGCAGGCAGGCCCATTTCAAAGAAAGAGAGAACCGGTTCGCTCATGGCTGAAAGTCGGAGCTAACGATTCGCCCGAACCAGTCCGAACCGGTAGAATCCCACCACTGCTTCCAGCCCTTGATTCGGTGATTCTTTAAAATCAGATGCTACTCACTTAACAACAGCCTTGCTCAGCAATGAGAATTGTGGTCCCAACTGTGATTTGTAAATTGGGGATTACCTATAAACAATCAGCGGATTCACTTCCCCATGCCATGGATAATGTCACCCAGCCTAATAATGGAACATAGACATAGATGTTCAGACGACCTAAAGGACCCATAAATTCAATCCTAAACTGTCTAATATATTATTTATTACAGGTAGTCCTCAACTTACAACTTACAACAATTGAACCAGACATTTATGTTGCTAAGGGAGACAGTTGTTAAGTGAGCTTAGGTAAAGGTAAAGGTTCCCCTCGCACATATGTGCTAGTCGTTCCCGACTCTAGGGGGCAGTGCTCATCTCCATTTCTAAGATGAAAAGCCAGCGCTGTCCAAAGACGTCTCCATGGTCATGTGGCCAGCATGACTACACGCCAAAGGCACACGGAACACTGTTACCTTCTCACCAAAGGTGGTCCCTATTTTTCTACTTGCATTTTTTATGTGCTTTCGAACTGCTAGGTTGACAGAAGCTGGGACAAGTAACGGGAGCTCACCCTGTTATGCGGCGCTAGGGATCCGAACTGCTGAACTGCCGACCTTTCAATCAACAAGCTCAGCGTCTTAGCCACTGAGCCACCGCGTCCCTTTTAAGTGAGCTTAGTCCCATTTAACCACAGTTTTGCCCCATTCTTGCCACAGTCATTAAGCAAATCACTTGCAGTTGTTAAGTCAGCAACACTGCCATTTTTCAGTTAGTAACACACTTGTTAAGTGAATGGGCTCTCTTTGCTTGTCCAAAGATCCCAAAAGGGGATCACACGACCCCAGGAGACTGCAAAAAGTGATCAATATGAATCCATTGCCAAGCATCCGAATTTTGATCACGTGAACGTGGGGATATACTGCAACGGTCGAAAGTGTGAAAAAAATGGTCATAAAGTCCCTTTTTTTCAATGCCGTTGTAACTTCGAACGGTCACTAAACAAAAGGCTGTAAGTTGAGGACAATCTCTATCAGTAGAAACAGTCAAGGCTGGTAAGACAAGGAACCACATTTAAGCAGCCACGCAAATTCTATTCTTTCATGTGCCAACGAGGTTACCTAACCTGCTAGCTGTCTATGGAGATTCTCAGTCATCCAGGTCATTGTTGTCCCAAAGTTGCTTTTTCAAGAGGCAACTGGACTTCCTGTTTTTTTCTTTGGAGACGTTTCGCTTCTCATCCAAGAAGCTTCTTCTGGAGCTTCTGGAGGCTCTGGAGAAGCTTCTTGGATGAGAAGCGAAACGTCTTCAAAGAAAAAACAGAAAGTCTAGTTGCCTCTTGGAAAAAAAATCACCTTTGGGATTAACCTGGTAACGAAACATCTGCAGGAAGAGATCAGAGAAGACCAAGAGAAGATCAGAGAAGACCAAGAACCCAGAGAAGAAAGAAGAAGATAGAAAATGGGTACCTACTTGGTGACTTGTGTCCGGGTGTTAAAATCCAAAGATCTCATTGATCGCAGGATCTCAATACAACCCATATACTGGGAGAAAGAAAGAAAAGACAAAAGTAAATCCACAAGCATTAATTTTGTTGGAACAGCTAATCTGATCCCACATTTCTCCACGTACCTTGTCATGGAGGTACATGTACCCATGTACCCAGCAGTGATGGGTTTCAAATTTTTTTACTACCGGTTCTGTGGGCGTGGCTTGGTGGGCATGGCATGGCTTGGTGGGCATGGCATGGCTTGGTGGACGTGGCAGGGGAAGGATACTGTAAAATCTCCATTCCCTCCCCAATCCAGGGGAAGGATACTGCAGAATCCCCATTCCCTCATGTGAGGGGATCACATGACTCCAGGACACTGAAACTGTCTAAAATGTGAGTCAGTGAGTCATTCAGATGCATCTGAATGTAAATCACGTGACCATGGGGATGCTGCTACGGTCATAAGTGTGAAAAACGGTCATAAGTCACTTTTTTCCCTGCTGTTCTAACTTTGAATGGTCTCTAACCAAACTGTTGTAAGTTGAAGACTACCTGTAGTTTCAACAGCTTCAATATCTAAAACAACTTTTCCAAAATGATACCTCCAGATAAAGAAATCCCAGAATTCCCACCCGCACTATTTTTGCTGGGTGGAATTCTGGGAATTAGAGTTTCAAAAAACTTGGCACATAAGATTGGGAAAAAATAGCTTTTAGCCTTCAAGCATCTAGTTCCATGTTTCTCAACCTTGACAACTTTAAGACAGGTGGACTTCAACTCCCAGAATTCCCTAGGTTTTGTTTTTGTTTTTTTTGCAAAAAGTTTTTTATTTTTTTTCCAAACATACAAATTACATCTTTTCAGAACAGAGCTTTGATCCGGTCATCAATTTGTTCAATTTTTTGTCATCTTTAACAAAATTTTATCTATTCTATTTTGCCATAACACTTATTTCTTAATCTTAAATCACATATTCAACTAATACCATCTTTAAAAAAAATTAACACATATTTACTTAATCCAAACAGTTACCCTTCTATTAACCCACCTTAAATCTTAATTCAATTAATAACTCATAATACATTTCAATACATTTCAAACATATTTATACTTCATAATGCACATTAAATCTTTATTCCATAATTACTTCATCAAATTTAAATCTTATCTTTAACCTTAAAAATATAGTAATTTAACATTTAAACATAGTTCTTAATTCAAATAATGCTATTTAATGCAATTTCCCAATTATTCCAAATTCTATCTATTAAACCACACCATTTATATAACACCAATTAAGTAATTTTTGTTTAAAAATCATAATCATATATTGTTTCAATTTTCTTTTCTTTTTTACTTAATTCTCGACCTTGGCCATCATAAGATTGGTGGACTTCAACTCCCAGAATTCCCTAGTTATATTGTGTAGTTTTTCAACTCCCAGGATGCTGGCTAGGGAATTCTGGGAGTTGAAGTCCACCAATCTTATGATGGCCAAGGTCGAGAAACACTAACCTAGCTCAGTTCTGTTGCATAGCCCATGGGTGCACCCTAGGATGAAATCCTGGTTTAATGGTGGTCAGCTGATTTTGCCAACCAATGAAGATAAAAATTAAAATCCTTTGTTTTCAATTGTCGGTCTGCACACAGTTTGTCATAATGAGTAAATATAGCCTGAGCTTCAAGCTGGTCTAACATTTTTGCTATTAAGGTTTAATCCCTGACTTCCTCAATCGAATTTCAGAGCTACATAGCACCCCAGTGTGATTGCTGGGAATTAGCAAGCAGGTTGTGTCCTCCTTTCACAATTCAGCAGCTGTCACACGGAAGCTTTAAAACTGTTTTGCAATTCACGGCAAACAAAACAAAAACCTTACAAATCATCAGCTTTTGTTTTCCCAGGGCTGCAATCTGCTTTATTTTGTATTCCATTTTTTTTTTACAGTATTTATTTATCCGTTCTGCTTGATCCCAGCCAAATGAGCAATGTAAATCAGTGTCAACATCATCAGTAAAATGTTAAGATTTCCTCGAAAAGCAGGAAAACATCATAACAAATGATAAACAAAAACAATAGATGGCTTTGAAGTTTAGAACCACAGTTGTAAAATATCCAGGGAAACCAGGGGAAAGCTTGAAAGATTTAGTATCTTCTTAGAAGACACAGTCTGCTGGTGGCTCAGCAGACTGATAGCATTGTGATTAACACCAACTGTCTGCAATTACAAATAAGTTCGAATCTCACCAGGCTCAAGGTTGACTCAGCCTTTCATCCTTTCTAAGGTAGGTAAAATGAGGACCCAGTTTGTGGGGGCAATAAGCTGACTTTGTATAAAATATGCAAAAGTATGAAGGCTATTGCTTAATGCATTGTAAGCCGCCCTGAATCTCCGGAGAAGGGCGGCATATAAATCAAATATAAAAAAAAAAAAGGAGCAAACCGAGAAAATTCCATAAAATGGTGGTTGTTGGTTGAAAAGACCCTTCCCCAAGAACCATTTTGAGAGGTCCCAGGTGGGAAAGCCTCTCAAAAAATTTGAGGGGATGATCTGAATATATAGCAGAGGACCTGCCATTTTCAGATAGTCCTCGACGTACAATCGTCGCTTAGCATCATTCAAACCTACGATGGCAACCAGCAACATCCTGGACCCCCCACCTAAAGCTACTTACGACCTAGTTTTGAAGTTCCAATGATGTGTCCAAATTTTGGGCTCTCGGCAATCAGTCTGCCTTCATGCCTAAAGTAGTAAAGTGGGCCTAGAACTCACAGTCTCCTGGTGATGGGCCCAAAGTAACTCAGCCAGCTTTCACGCCTAATGTGGGACTAGAACTCACAGTTCCTGGTTATTGACCCAAAGTCACCCAGCCAGCTTTCATGCCTAATATGGGATTAGAACAGGGGTGGGTTCTAAAATTTTTTACTACCGGTTCTGTGGGCGTGGCTTATTTTGTGGGCGTGGCTTGGTGGGGGTAATGTGAGTGGGTGGGCATGGCCAACTTTTTTTTTTCTTACTTTTAAAAGCATTTTTTCTACAACCTTAAGAGGTTGCAGAAAAAAAATGATTTTAAAAGCCTCTGACGATCAGGCAACTCAGCTGGGATCGCCAGAGGCTTTTAAAGGCATTTTTTTTTTTCCTACAATCTCTTCAGCCCAAGAGGTTGTAGAAAAAATGCTTTTAAAAGGCTCTGACGATCCCAGCTGAGCCTCACGATCATCAGAGGCTTTTTTTTTTACTTTTAAAAGCATTTTTTCGGCCGAAGAGGTTGTAGAAAAAATATTTTTAAAAGTAAAAAAAAAAAAGCCTCTGATGAGGTGGGAGGGGTAAGCAAGCGGCGACCGGGCTGGGGACCAGTTCGGGGGTGTGGCCAGCCGATGTTATTACCAGTTCTCCAAATTACTACAAATTTTTACTACCGGTTCTTGCGAACCGGTGCGAACCGGGAGCAACCCACCACTGGATTAGAACCAGTGGTGGGTTGCTCCCGGTTCTGTCCAGTACTTTAGAAACTGGTAGTAAAAGTGGCAGGAGGCTCCACCCACCCGCCTGGACGTCATAATTGACAATCTGCGCATGTGCAGAAGCTTCTGCACACGTGCTCCCATTGCGAACCGGTAGTAAAGGTAAGTAGAACCCACCGCTGACTAGAACTCACCGTCTCCTGGTTATTAGCCCAAAGTCACCCAGCCAGCTTTCATGCCTAAAGTGGGACTAGAATTCATCATCTCCTGCTTTTTAATCTGGTGCCTTGACCATTAGGCCAAACTATTTCTCAATAAATGAAACCTTGCTGATCCCCAAATATGTATGTATGTATGTCAGAGGTGGGTTTCAGCAGGTTCTGACCAGTTCTGGAGAACCAGTAGCGGAAATTTTGAGTAGTTCAGAGAACCGGTAAATACCATCTCTGACTGGCCCCACCCCCATCTATTCTCTGCCTCCCGAGTCCCAGCTGATTGGGAGGAAATGGGGATTTTGCAGTAACCTTCCCCTGGAATGGAGAGGGAATGGAGATTTTGCAGTCTCCTTCCCCTGCCACACCCACCAAACCATGCCATGCCCACCAAGTCACGCCCACAGAACCGGTAGTAAAAAAATTTGAATCCCACCACTGATGTATGTGTGTATGTATCAGTGGTAAGTTGCCCCTGGTTCGGGCCGGTTTGCAAGAACCGGTAGTAAAACCGGTGGGAGGTTCCACCCACTGACTCGGATGTCATCAAAGATAATAATAATAATAATAATAATAATAATAATAATAATAATAATAATTTTATTTCTATACCGCCCTTCTCCCGAAGGACTCAGGGCGGTGTACAGCCTATTTAAAAACACAGACAAAACAACAATGTAAAATTTAAAATAATTAAATAAATTGGCTCAAATTTAAAACCCCAAAAAATTTAAATACCCCAATTTAAAACTATTATGTTGATAGTCCGGCCTGGCGGAACAACAGGGTCTTCAATGTGCAGCGAAACACCCGGAGGTCGGAGATCTTACGAATTTCCGGGGGCAGTTCATTCCACAGGGCTGGGGCTCCCACAGAGAAGGCCCTCCCCCTGGGTGTCGCCAGCCGACATAACTTGGCCGAAGGCACCCTGAGGAGACCCTCTCTGTGGGAGCAAACTGGTCGGTGGGAAGCTATTGGTGGCAGAAGACGGTCTCGGAGATACCCGGGTCCTATGCCATGGAGCGCTTTAAAGGTGGTAACCAACACCTTGAATCGCACCCGGAAGACCACTGGGAGCCAGTGCAGCTCGCGCAGGAGGGGTGTCACATGGGGACAACGGGTTGCGCCCATAACCACCCATGCGGCCGCATTCTGGACCAGTTGGAGCCTCCAAGTGCTCTTCAAGGGGAGCCCCATGTAGTGAGCATTACAATAGTCCAACCGGGAAGTAACAAGGACATGAGTGACCATGCGCAGGGCGTCCCGATCCAGAAAGGGCTGCAACTGGCGAATCAGGCGAACCTGATAAAAGGCCCCCCTGGCCACGGCCGTCATATGCTCTTCTAAAGACAGCCGCGCGTCCAGGAGGACACCCAG